TGGCAGTACTTTATTTATGTAATGTTGTCAAATCCCACCAGAAGTGGACTTTCTCACAACATCATTACCTCCAATTCCAAAACTATATAAAGTTGCACAACTTTATGACTTTGAATTAATAATAAAATTAAAAGAATCCATGCGATCAAAGTCATACATAGCCTTTGCCCTTTGGCCAAATACGCTTAATTCATACTCATATCATGGTTTCCGTGAAGTGATCGCCTGCACCCGAAGACTATTTTTTTGAGACAGATAGAATATATAAAATTTGCATTTTGATTTCTATTTCGAAAATGCTCGTAGAAAGTTTGTTGTAAATATAATAATGTACTCTAAAGTAACACTTCTGTATTTTATTTACTTTTTTTTTTATATACTTAAAAGTCAAATGATGAAGTAGTGCTCTTTAACCTCATAATGTAAACAAAAATTATAAATACTAAAAGTTGAATCCTAAACTATTGAGATTTGGATGATGTGTGAGTTTGTGTACTGCATAATATTGTTGACTTCTCAAAACAGTTCTTCTATTTTCGACCAAAGCGGTAATCAATCAATCAATCACTTCCTATCAAATTAATTAAGCCTGCCACGTTCCTTCATTTTCAATCTTGAAAAATTTGTCGAATCTAGGACTTTCGCTGTACATATATATACCAATATCTCTATTAGAATTGATGATGAAAGATATCATTCGCTTCGAGGACCTTAACGTTTTAGAGTAACGACAAAATTAAAATAAATTTTTATATAGTAATAAGTTTATAACCAATGTGTTATATATACATCATTTTATATCTCTATCCCGATGATCATAATTTTTTATCATAAAAACTTTATTGAAGATCAAGTTGAAGAATACTTCTACTTACTTGTCTTCATTGCAATTTAAAAGCCAGACTTGCGAGCTACGAAAATTAAGCATAGTTCAGTGGGATCAAGTTAGATGGCCAATAACGTTTTGCATCGAGAGGGACAACTATAGCTAGGGTTTTACCTTTTAACCCTTTTTAATTATCTCGATGACCGAATGATAAGAAGCACACACGATAATTCCTTTTCAGAAATCCTTGTAATAGTTTGTAAGCTGTGAAATGATCGATATGACTCGGTTCATTGAATGATTAGATGACCAACATTTGACATTTTTGGCTAAGAATATTATACGTACCATTCTATCAACAGCACTTACAAACCCTAAAGTCAGATAGTCACATATATAATACAATATGATCTCCTTTTTTGTACTTCTCAGAATCAGGTTAGGATTCGAAAATCTTGTGGAGATTCGAATCTTAAAAGCTATGACCAACGTTGTTGGCTGTTGGAAATGCCTAAGAAGTGCACGAAATGAACTTCACTGCCATTTGACTGGACGCAACTAAATTAAATCAACTGGTTTTGCAAGGGTTGAATCCAATCCAATACAACTCAATCACCTTGTATATAAAGTTTATATGCATGGTCCATTCATCCCAAAATAAGTGTCTAGTTTACGGTAGAAGGAGCAACAATCTTTAGTAAAGAATGTGTCGTCGGCAAGAAATTAAATAGCAAGTGTGGTTTAACAAACTTTTTTCAGGCAGTAATCAATTCAAAATGGTAATTAAAGCACTATGACTTGTTGGTACTGAAGCGCATTAACACACACATATACACATGCATTGATTAACATCCAAAAAAGAACTCATTTACTGAGTTGATGATTGGTTTTTCCTCAAAGTTTAGTCACATTAGTAATACAGATTAATTACAAAGTGTATTTCGTGTGTGGTTAGTAAAAGAGATGCTCTTTATATTGGGACGAAGAAAAAAAATTAAAAGCAATATTCCGGGGAAGGCGGCACTAAAACCATTTTATTGCCACACACACTCACACAGTGCGTCTCATGTGACTATCCACTAATAGCAAATCCAACTTACTTTCATTTTAGCCACAATGCCTAAAAAGAAATCCCTTTGATTGGAACTATCCATTTCAGGGAACGATCACATTGTTGAAATTTTTCACCATGTAATACCACATTTAGTCGTGGTAATCATTTAGAATTTAGATCCAACCCACCGGATTTTTTTGTGCGTATAACTGTTGATCTCAAGAAAATACTACTGAACCTACAGTTACGGACTTATGGATGATCGCCACCTACTGAAGTTTGATAAGTGGCTACGTATATATATAAGAATCCATAATTCTGTAGCATGAACCTTAGTACGTGTTGTAAGTGCAATATTCAGAATCTCAATAGTACAAGATTACGAGAATACAGTAATGCACTATATCTCTCAAATTTTTTAAAAAAAAAAAAAAAAATGTCCACATTCATCCCCGAGCAGAGTGCACCATTCCCTGTGAATTTTGTGGTTGCTTCAATTCAACTATTCCAAAAGGAATTTTTTGATTGGTTGAGGATCAAAGGCATCAACATAGTCGACCTCTATATCCTTCAGGGTTATTGTCATTAACTCTTGTTTTACACGTAATAAGGAATCTAAACCTAGAGTTGCAAAATATAATTATAAATAATGTTAATTTCTTTATTGCTGATTAAATTGTACACTTAGAGCATCCACAATAGTGTTAGATAATTAGTAAATAATCACTTTATTACAATATTTATCATTGTATTGAGTATGATAATATTACATGGTGTAAGAATTCTTACACTGTATAATATACTTTTTGGGGTTAAAATATAACTAATGTAAATTTATGATGATAGTAAAATAAACTATTTGATTTTATTATACTTTTATACCGTAAACTAACTAATGTAGTAAAGACTTGAATAAAAATATAATATTAAAAATTTATGACATTTATATTCACAATAGTGAAGACCATTGGGAATGCTCTTACAAGCACTCCTTTTATTTTAAAATTATTGTTCTAATGCAATAAATAATTTGATTATTTCGGTACGAAAGAGTATAACCTATCAACCATCTTGTATCTCCAACTTTTCAAATGTGCATTATTCACGGTTTGTTCCAAAATTCCAAATGGGAACATGGTTCAAGTTGGTTACTTAGTGGATCGACATTGATTAAATATTTTACTATATGGCAATAGTGCGAAGTGAAATGCTGTCCCTCTTAAGGATGCATATAACAAAAATGGCAGGGTTACACGATGTACTCACCCAATTCTTGAATAGGAAATTGGTAGTGTCGGAGGCATCCATTTCATTTGATATATTACTGAAGCAACATCATTGATCCATTTGGACAAATGACCTTTTTCTGGGGATGAAGAATTCATGTCTGGGATCATTATCCCCCAGGACTTTGGCTCCCAACTTCGATCAAGTGCACTGCTTTCCCACATTCCTTGTGGAAGCATTGGCGAGGGGTGGCCGGGTGGGGGGTTATACTATATGTATAAGTGTAAAACAATGACGACAGCTGTACGTGCTATAGAAACCGCCGCGTGGATACATATTCCACATTCAAGTTATCACTCTATGTGCTCTCTTTATCTAATATAGTTCAACAACGTAAAATTATTAAAACGTCCAAACTAATTTTCACTAATCATACATGACTGATATACAACAGCTGATGATGAATATTTCACCAGTTTTGAGTTATCCAACCTCGAGGGATTTTCATTTTCGTGGGAATGTGGGGCTGGTTTTTAACCTCACAGGCTCATTTTTCTCTTCGACAGTGGCCTCTTATAACTGCATTTTTGTTTTTTCTTTTCAGTACTGTTTTTCAATGGAGGAAAAGATGTAAAATGAGAAGGCACTTACCTTGGCTCTCAGAGATAATGGCATAAGAGCAATGTCTGCCTACTATGCACATTAATGGAGTCAACCCACCACTAACTAGGGGCAATGCCCGTAAACTAAGGACCCTCCTTTATCTTCACTTTTCCAACCATCTCCAGTAATCCTATTTTTCCTATCTTCATTTGAAAGCTTGAACATTTTGATTTCGGGAATAGGTCACCTGTTGCTTTTATGTTCTTCATGATAGGAAAACACCATATAATCGTGCATTGTTTTATTGTATTGCAGGAAAAAAGAAAATCATGAATGATAATTTCGCATTGAAATTTTGGATTAAAAATCTGCAGAAAATAATTGTGAATTTAGGTAGGGACTTTTAGGCTTTTACATGAGAAATGAATGTATAGTTGACAAAATTTCTCAATCCCTATTCTTTTTCTTTATGTTACTACTCTCACCTCAAACCACTACCCCTGGAATATGTGGATGTGTTTCTCTTGTTTCCAACTCTAATAGCATGAGTATGGTCACTCTCACCATATGAGCTTATAGTCTCGCTGAGTGGGTTTCATTCTTTGTTTCTGTATAAAACTTTACTAGAATGTTTTTTATTTACATTGATTCTAAGTCAGCTGAGTTTTATATGCACGTAGATAACTCATGCAATAATTAAAAATAACAATGATATGGAAGCTATTGCATTAAAATTGTGATGGCAATAAATAAAATGGGGTAAAAATTCCAGTCAACAGTAGCATACATTTTTTCCAACACCCCCCCTCCCACCGCAAAAAAGAAGAAAAAGATAAAACCTTCATGCTCAACATCATATGTCACCTCAATTTACCCAGAGGAAGGGTATGCATGGGGTTGTCACTCTAAGATAGGGTTCTCCTATTGAACGACTCAACAGTCAAGTTTGCGGTGAATGCAGGTATAGAATTGAGTTTTCGGATGAATATTTCAACCTGGGGGAAATAAGAGAAATGAATTAAACTTGGAGACCAAAATAAAAAAATAAAAAAAATAAAAAAAAAAAACTTAAGTATCTATAGAGACCAAACTTTCAAACACGAAACATAAGATGACTGCATTATGGTCCCTCCTTCAAATAAGAGTTCGGTCACATTGCTTTCAAGCCAGAAAAACATCAATCCAAAATTTCCTCAAACCTATTGCATGTACCATTTCTATACACCCTTGCTTTCACAAGGAAGACTATAAGGTTGTACACAGCGTAAGAAAAATGCATAACTTGTGTCTTCAGATACTTTCTGTGGATAATACTTTCAAAGTTGCAATCTTACTATCACAAAGGTAATAGAGATGAGACTCTTGAGATGAACGAGCGAACAAACTAAACCAGACTACAGACAATGAGAGAATACATGCAATAGAATCAAAGACAGCATATCTCTAGTAGATACAAAATGAGACAAACATGTTATGAAAGTGAAGTGTTGTAATTTACTCTCTGTGCATGAAAATCCAAGACAAATAACTTTGATACCTGGCGAGATATCTCTGGCTGTTTCGTATAGTCATTCACCTAAGTACATCAAGGAGACAAATCTGTGTTAGTGCAATGGACCATCTGCAGATAAACATGTCAACAAAACTGCTCTACCAGGTTCAACTGGGATGAGCTTAATGACAAGTTAATGCATCATTCAGATTTACCATCTATCAACTAGCCACCCTGATATTTGAAAAGCTCAAAGATATCCAAACCAATGAAGAAGCAATAAATATAAAGAGTAGTAGATACCATTATATTCGTGTTCCCTGATTCGTATTCAAATTCGAGTCGCTCGTCATCACTCTGAGCATAGATAGATAAGAGTGTAAATCGAGTCACCGGTATCCCATCTGGTCGTTGATGATCATCCATTACAATCTGAGAAACAAGTTTAATTCAGCTCTAAGCAGATGAATATAGAAACAACATAGAAGTGAATCAATGACTTGAAAACAACAAAACAGAGTCTTAATTGAACCAGTTCACAAGCTAAGCCTAATAAAACAAATTCATTGGAGGCACATACTTCAACCTCAAGCTACAGGTTGATTCCATAAAAAATATTTTATCAACCTAATAGGGCAGTCCGGTGTATAGAATGCTCCCACATTAGTAACCTGCGTGGATGATTCCAATCACATAATGTTCTCAACCTATATTTCTGTAACAGGCTTATTTCCACGATTAACAAAAGCAACGAGGTTTTTCCAACATAAATAACCATATGTAAAAGGTATCTAACGTTTAAATGCAATAACAATGTAACATCCTTTTAGTTGATGCAAGAGATTTTGAACTGCAGACTTTACCTTGTAGCCAAAAAGTTCACAGCAAGCCCTTCGGAAAACAGAGATTCGCTCGGCAAAAACAGTCTTGTATCTGTTTGCATATTCAAAGGTTCAAATCTCTTCAAAGAGTAGAACAATACATCATACAATAAAACTCTTTCACAAGCTCTTGACCTTTCCTCTCGCTTTTCAAGAGTTGCAATTTGCTCTTTCAACCGCACAATCTTCTCCGAAACATAGGAGTCCACCAGCGTCCCAGCATCAGCTGAATGTCCACAGAAAGTAAGAACCAGAGCAATAAAACATTCACCAGAAAGAAATAAAAAATAAAAAGTAATTCTATGAAAACACAAAACCACAATAAAGAGAGCTAGCGATTCAAACCAAACTTCCACAAAGACGCATGCAGTTATCTTGTGAGCAAGTATTTATGGAAAGGGCATAAAAGGAAGTAGAGACAACATAGTAGGCGATATTTCGCAATATACATTGACTTGGCCTAAGTTTCTCAGGCCACAATTCAACGAACTTGATCACTCCTTTCAACTGCATCGACAAATTTACAAGCTACATTACGAATGGATGCCAATAGCAGGTATTGAGAAATACATAAAAGTTTACTAAATATACGGAACGGACACCATATCCTTTTGAGGAGAATATAAACTAGTCAATTCTTTGACCAATAGAAGACCAATCAGTGTTTAGAAAAGAAAGGATCAACTTCAAGCAAGATAACAAGCAAACCAAGAAAACAAGTGGCACAAAATTCTAAAAAGGTAACCACCCAAAAAAAAAAAAAAAAACATTTTGGAACTTTAAACACCTGATTGCTTCTTTAACTCTTCCACAGCCAGTAGCTTCTCCTTCATCTTTTGCAACTCCTTTTGCAAAGCCTCTATAGTCCGTTTTGCCTCATCATCTACAGCAAGACTATTGACCATTCTCAAAACTTTTGTGTTTGCCGATGAAAAATCACCATGCCCCAACTGCAGCAAGTATGTAATGAAATCACTACCCGTCTATAATCGATTGCAAACAATATGGAACTTTAACTACCACAAGCTTTCAGAAAATGGAAAAATCCTTAGGCTTTGAGCTTGAGATCAATGAGATTAGAACTCTTTAATAATAGCTAGCCACCTAGGAACAAAACTATAACCAAGCCCTAAAAGCAAAACCACAAACAGAAACACTTAATGCATGATTGAAAGAGATTGATCACCCCGTGGAGCAAACCGGAAGGGGAGTGAGAAGCAAAACAGAGGAAACAAGTAATAGGAAGGTCATACACTGTGTGCACAGCATGTAGCAAGGAAGTTTCATCAGCAGCACATACAATCAATGATACTAACATTCAGAAATTGAAAATCTCACAGCCGATGCATGTGAGTAAAGAAATACTGGAGAATGACAGACAGCAAGTCTGCAAACCAACCTTTGCCTCCAAAAGAGCAATCTCAGAACGAAGTCGATCACCTTCTCTTTCCAATGACTTGACTTTTCTCACCTCATCACTTAGCCTCTCATTAAGTAACTTAACCTCATTCTGCTGACGAATATTAACAAGGTTTTGCTCATGCAAATTGCTTTCAAGTTCCTTAATACAGTTCTCTTTCTTCGAAATGGATGCTTCAAGCTCCTTTCATCGTAGAAAATAGCAGGCATATCAGTGAAGAAAACAAAGCAACAACAGCATAAAGACATAAAAGAGTCGCAGACCTTAAGAAGTGATCCATTCACCATTTCTGTCCCACCCTGAGTGTTTTTTTCCTTTTTCAGTTCATCAACCATGTTCTTTAAACGGTCTCCTTCCTCCGAAATAGACGCAAGCTGCATGTTTACATAATTGAAAGACCAAAAGACATATCAAGAAACATGTAGACAAAAATCCAAACAACGATTAATTATCGATAGCCCAGAGGAAGACATTAATCACTGAGATCCAGTCAGCCAACTACAGGGAAGTTATCTAGTAAATACTTTTGCATTTGGAATCTCAAGTAATAACAGCATGATATAATCTAAAGTAATGAAGCCACCTTCATGCAGTTTTCAAATATTTCTAATCATGTAATAATGCAATGGCCTACGCAGTCGTTCTTGCAAGACAGAGAGTTGTCCCAAAGATTAAAGGACGAAGACAGAGAGTTGTCCCAAAGAGTTGTCCCAAGACAGAGAGTTTTCAAATATTCTCTCTCTTTCTCTTTTTATTTCATTTTCCTTATCTTTTTTGTTCGCATATGGCGGGTAAAGGTGGCATAGGAAAGCACAGAAGTATTGGAAGGAATTACCAACCATCAGTTCAATTCTCTTGACCTCTGACTGTGATGATTCTGCTTTCTCTTTAGCTGATTTAGCTTCTGCAACTGCATTTTGCTTATCATGTTCGGCACGAGCAAGAGCCACCTCAATCTGTTTCATACTTTGCTGAGCTTCACTAACCTTTGTCATGCTTTCAATCACTTCCCTGCAAGCATTTAAAGACAAGAGAAGATGTCAAACTATTAACAACTTTTTACCATCTACCAGCATTGCATTTGACAGCAGGAGAGGAAAAAACCACAAAAATCAGCCCACTTTCAAAAAAAGCACTAATAATTGATGCCCTTTACTTCCAAAACTATCCCAAAGGATAGTATTGTGAGCTAGATACATACTTTTGCAAAGATCCAAATACGATATGCACGTCATCAGCACAGGAAACTCCAGGAATGTTTTTCATTGAAGATTTCCAAATAGACAACTCATTCTGTAACTTCGTAACGGTCTTCTCAATTCCTGTCAATCTAAGAAGCTCCAATTCAGCCGTTTCTCTACCCCTCTTTTCTTCTAAAAGTTTTTCCTTCAGTACCTCAACATTTTCATGTGAAGATTTAATATTTCTGGCTTCATGCACTTCAGACTCCTGATAATGGATTTAAGAAAAGTTGAACCAGCTGTCAGGAATGGAGAATGCAACCACATGATATAAAAATTTTCCAGATCACAAGAATGCGAGAGATATAAGGGTAGATCCAACCATCAGGAGTTGTAAATGCAATCACATGAATAATTTTAACAAATCACCAGAAGTATAAATAAAATCAAGAAAGTGAAATGCAATCAGAATAATTTCAAACATAAAATACTGAAAAACTTAATTATGAGGAAAATCCTATTGAGCTAGGAAATGAAACGTAGGTGGGAAAAAGGAAGGGAATCTAGAAAAGAAAAGAAAGACGTCAGCTGTTAGATGATTCGTTATATATTTACTTCATTGACGTTCCCTTGGAACAGTAGAGCTTTAACCCCGACCAACATCAAAGTTAGTGCTGTTAGAAGACTCTAATACTACCTTAAAAACCAAATCTGAGAGCGGATCTTAAAACCATCATACAATTACTAAAAAAATTATAATTACTCAGTAGTCGTTTCCCATTGATGAGGTATAATATGTGTTCATAGCACCTTTCTTCTTAAACATTCAAATTCTAAGAACCTCAATCTGCCAAGATGGGAATATTCTGACTATAAATACAAAAAAATTAAAAAAAAAGAAAGAAAGAAAGGAACTAAGATCGCTACCATGGCGCAAGGGGTAAAGTCACTTTTGTTCACCAGTTATTTAAATGCAATAGAAAACACAAAAAGCAATCCAGGCTATTACAGAGTAGAATCCAACTTACATAGTTCTTAAGTTCTTCTTGCAAATGCTTTACTAATGCACTAGTATCTGGTGATGTAGCTTCCTGAGGAGTGATAGAGAGCAACTTTTTCTCCAAGTCACCTTTCTGCTGCATGCACTGATCAAACAAGATGAAAGTAATCTCATCATACTAGGAATCTGGGAAATAACAAATGAATAAGGTAAAAGAGCTAAGGAATGCAATATGCCAGGCTTATTAATACAACTACAAGCAATAAAAAGAAGACAAAACCAGTATCAAAACTAGTACGCCAAGCATTTAAAAGACAAGATAATAACTTCATTAAGCCGCTTTTTTAGTTGTTCAATCTGGTTCTTGAGTAGTCCTGACTCTTCTTCAGCATGTTTAGCCCGCATTTCCATTTTTTCAAGCTACAAAGTCAAAAGATTATAGATTAGAAAGAAGAAAAAAGACAGAAATAAGCACCAGCAACTAGGTTTTAAAGTAAACTCACATCTGCTCTTATTCTGGAGGCAGATAGTTTTGACTCGCTTTTCAGCTGCGCGAGCTCATTCTGAAGCCGGATTTTCTCCCTTTCAATACTCTGAGAAACATTACTTAGTTTCCCCTCCAATGTACTTGCTCTTTCTTCAGACAACTTCGCTGCAGATTCGGCTTTTTTGCGCATATCCGCCTCATTATGGAATTTTACCTTGACAATCACAGATTTTATACGTTATATACATAAATTAAAGATCAAAGGCCATTATCTTTATTTAAGTTTTCCTTTTTAAAACCATAGCATGTCTCCCTGAAGCCTATGGACAACAACAAAGATAACAGGGTGACGCCACTGCCATTGTTGCTTTCAGAACTGAAAAATGCAGCACGCACCTCAAGCTCATTATAAAGCTGCAACTGTTTTCTTAAACGTTCTTCAGAAGAAGTGACCTCTTGCAAGAGACGGTCTTGCAGAGCTTGTTCACGACTTTTAGCAGCAGCAAGTTCCTGTTCTGAATATAACAACCTCTCTCTAAATTGTTTCCTTTCAGCATCTGCAACAAGGTGACAAACAAAGAAAACAGTAATGGACATCAACAGAAGGTACTTCATCCCAAGAAAAATCAATCATTGCAAATAATAAAACCAGCCAAGACAGAGGATGCGGATGCAGATGCACACAAGTTGAAAACTGCGTAATATAAGAATTTACATGCACTTGGCCAAGTATGATTCTGCTTTGCATTTGGCCAAGTTATGATTCTACATTACTCCCTAGGATATCAGTAGATTCTCCAGACTAACCAGCAAAGATAAAGTTAGGAATATACATAAACGCACAACAAAAAGATAAACACAAACAAAGATATTAAACATCCACTAAACCAAATGACCAGAAACAAGCTCTTTTCTACTCACCGGCTTTGCTGAGATCTTCATTCAATGCTTCAAGTTTAGTTTGAGAATCACGCGCCTGCTTTTCTGCACTACTCAAGGCTTCGAAGAACTCTGATTTCACCTAAAACAAACGAAAAGTCACCAATAAGCTAAACTCGTCGCCAAATTTCCTCCGAAAAGACGCAGATAATAAAGCTTCGTAAACAGGACGGTGAAACATTAAAAAGGTAATCAAAAACAAATAAGTAAATGAATGGAATAATACCATCTGACGGCATTGATAAGTGCAGAGCATCTCCTCGGATGAGAATTGATGGTCATGAGAAGATTCCGGCACCGGAACTGGAGAATCCTCGTAGATGATGAGCTGCGCATTATCCTTAGGGCTACGGCTACTGCTAGAAACATAGTTTTCTTCCGGAAACGACGAATCGGCTCTTCGCTTCCTCGGACGTGGCGTTCGGAGGATCATTTTCAGTATTCCGGTGATTTTTAATTTGAAAAAGAAAAATCAAAAAGGAAAAATGGGTTCAGCTTCTCTTTTTGAGCTTTATTTCTGAGTTCAAAATGAAAAACGGAAGGCGCCTTTGTGAAGCGCTCTGCTCTGTGCATTTTCTCTTTCATGGTTTTATGTTATTTCAAATAGAATGGCAAGTTTTGTGGGCTCCGAGCCCATTCTTAATATTGACAATATATGGGCCTTTAACTCTTTTTTTTTGTGTTGAAGATGGGGCTTTAAACTTAAATATACCCTGCATAGTTCTGTCACGACCCGGTGGCCGGACGGTGGCCGGAACGACAGAAAAGGAGAAATTGAAGGTGGCCGGGGAGTAATTAGGGTTCAGGGAGGAAACAGAGAAGGAAGAGTGAGAAACTGAAAATTTCAATTTGATACAATATTTTCGATAATTGATTTTAGAGATCCAACTGCTATTTATAGTCCAACTAGTTTCTAAAACGACACTTAAGTCCCTACATTTCTATTCTCTATAATTTTAGTCCAGGGGCATGACAGACCCTCCCCGTAAAATAAGTCTTGTCCCCAAGACTTCTAAATAAGTAGGAAATATAAAATAAAAACAAAATGATGCAACAGTTTGTTCTCCAATTTCAAGCAAGAAAAACATGTCTCATTTGAAACTTGTCACAATTTTATCTCATCCTTTGCCAAATTCCCTTATAAGTTCATCAACTTCGCATCTTTCTCGTCTTATGTTGAATTTTGAGTTGCCATTTCCCAACCTTCAGGGTTATAATACCTAAACAGCTTGCCTCCACCTACTGCTTCCGTTTCAACACTGTTAGTGTCGTTGCCATAAAGAAATGAAAAAAATCCCCAAGGGCTGAGTGGCGTACAGAAATCTAAAAACAAACTGATGCTCTTTCAAGCTGTATGTTTCCCATTTGAAATCATTACAGCCATGGCCAACAATGCTACTCAATCTACAATAGGATGTGAATTCATGCATTTGATTAGCGGAGTTCAGACCATTCCACACATCAACAACAGGACATATCCTTCTAGAGCATAATTCCATTAAAGTGCCCTTGTTGGATGGGAGTGAAGCTTCATTTCCAACTTTGTTTTTAACTGCCTCACCCGGCTAGAAAATCATTTAACCTGATTTGATACTCAAACCAAACACATTCTGAATTTAACCCTAATAGCTTCGCTCCAACTCATCAGTTCAGAGCTAACTATGGAGCCTATTCCTAATTCAGACTGCTTAATACCATTTCTATCAAGTTGTAAATTCTTTTTCTCATTTCCAACAGTAATAATACAGGGAGAACTCCCACTTACCACAATGGTGCCTCCATTGAAACAAGAGACACTTTCAGACATGATTTATACCCTCTTCTTGTACAATTATATCAAATACAATCAGGATTTCCACATGCACAAGTGAACCTTTTATACAGAACATTTTTACTAGACTCAACAGTAATAGTAAAAGCAATAGTACCAGCAAGAGCATCTACTCGTAGTTTAAAAATCAGCAAGACCTTCCCATGTGAAGCCTTGAAAACAGCAAGACTAATCAACATGGTTTTAACCCCCAACGATGCAACTAGATTATGACATTTTGGTGATTTCTCAACACCAACAGACTCGACCAAATCATGTAGATAGGATGCAACGTCAAGAACCAACCATGCAATTTTCCAACCAAAATTCATAAGAGATGCACAACACCTTTCTTTGACATAACTAACACGGAAAGAACTGTTCTCCATCAGTTTAATTTTCAGAAGCTTATATAACATTGCAGCTGGGAAAGTAATAGTCAAGAAACTCCCTGCTTCATCAAGCAATTTCGTAACTTCTGTGTTTTCAAAATTTCCATGACCCCCATCTTTTTTTCAAAATTTTGAACTGTTCTCCGTCTTTTTTTTTTTTGGCTAATCTAAATAGTAGTGGTTCTACAAATACGTACTCTTCCGTTCCTTCATATAAAACATTTTGATTTGTTCTAAGTTTTACATAATATACATTTTTATTTGACAAAAAAATCTTAAAAATATATTTTTACATTCATTGTATTCTCTAGATTGTTATGAAAATATTTTTAAATTTTTTTCAATTAAAAGTGCATATTAGGTGAAATCTAAAACAAATCAAAATGACTTATATTAAGGACTGGAGGAATAGTAAATTGTATATAAGATAGTAGTGTTATTTTGAGAAAATTGGGATTGGTTTTTTCTTGTTCTGTTAAAACTTTTTTTTCATTACGTAGTTGATGTCCAACATTATTGTCTCCAGTAGTCAGATTCAAGTGAGGTAAATCCCATTTTAGAAGGAAAAACTCTTCCAATGAAACAAAAATATTAACTAAAAATCCTAGAAAAGTTTTACTCCCGTCTCTTAACATTGGGAGTTTTTTTTAGGTCAAAAGAGATTCTGCTAATTTTCTCGTTTGAATATTGATTACTGGTTGAGTTGAAATGTTTGACGAGAATCCATACTCCAAAGATATCGCAAAGCTGGTCTGTTAACCTAAAAGCAAAGTTAACTTAGCACCCTTCAAAGGAAACACACATCAATTAAAGTAATCTACCGTACATATGTTTCCTGGTTGGTATTAGTCTGGAATTGTCTGCTTCCTTCAAAACTAGGCAAACCAACCTTTAATTTTTCTCAACAAAATTGATAGCCATATTGCTTAGAAAGAATCATCTGGGGTCGCCTGGAGTAATATTTGAAACATTTAAATTAATATTTTCACAGCACTACTATGACAATATTGTGAAACTATATACTCCCCTCCGTCCCATAATTATTGTCTAGTTTGAGTTTTTATTTTTAGTTTAGATTGTACTAAAAATGAAATCTAAAATTGGACAATAATTTTGGGACAGAGGAAGTATTTTTTTCCCCGTAGATAAGAAAAAGATTAACAACACATATTTGGAAAACACGTATTTGGCCGGATGAAGAAATTGTTAATTTCAAAATAAATTTTTATTCCTTACTTTTTGTATTACACTATTTATAATAATCAAGATATATTTTATTATTTTAATTTTAATGCGATTCAAATTTTTAACACTAATTATGCGTTACATATTTCATGACCCATTCTAAACACGAGGCAAAAGAACTATAAAGCTGGTACAAACTACAAACTGAGAAAATTCAAAGATATATATTGGCAACGAACTTAATTTGAGTGTATAGTAGTTCTATTGAGTTTTGACAAAAGAAAACAAGGGGATAATTTCCATTGGTTTTGAAAATTAGACCATTTCGCATATGCTAAAATATCTCAAATCTTCCAAGAGTCAGTATCAATTAAATAATAATTAGTACGTACTTCGATTTTGTATCATAATAATGCAAAAAAAATATGTACAAATCTTCTGTAAGTTATATACATTGACTTCTTGTTGGGTCTTATTTTTTTGCCCCTCTTTATTTTTCTTTTAATTGAATTGTATAGTATATTCTTCTTTTCGTATCATAAATTGAATACGAGAATTTGTGCACTGGATGGTCAAATTGACTACTTGTCCCCACCAGATAATAATAACCACTTGGAAAGTAAGGGTTAAAACAGACAAATCAGTCCCCAAAAGTCATGATTTCTCTTTCAGGTAAATGTATTTGTCATGCTCTTATTTGCGGGAACTCAACAAGAATGCACATGTCGTTCATTTGTTGTCAGACCTTCACGGGTGGTTTATTCGTGCTCTAACCTTCTACGTTGTGACTTTGCAGATTGGGATTTTTTTTTTCTCCCCAACTGTTGGTGGATTATAACGCAAAAGAAAAACGATTGATCAAGTTGAAGAAGCAATTTAGGTTGAGAATTAGTCACTCATATTCATTGGCGGAGCCAAGATTTTATCGTAGGGGATGCAAAATGAAACCGTGAGATCAAACATGTTATAAGTACTAGAAAAGATATCGAATATAGAACAAATATGTTTGAATATTTTTTTAGTATGTATTTTTGAGTATTTTTTGAATTAAAAATGTAACGAAATATATTAAAATAGGACAATTATTAATAAATTATTTTTAAAAAGCCATAAGAATAAAAGGAAACAAACAGATAATATTATCTTTTTATCATTAAAAAAAATGTATATCAGCTTCACTAGTTTAATTATATTGTACACAACTTTTACAACTTGAAGTCATGTTATCATAAAACTTAAATTTATCGTTGAAAAATATTCGAATTTATATTTTCAATATATCATGTGTTCACAGTGTTGAAAACATTACATCTATCAACACATAGATTTAGCCATTTAGGAAAAAATTTGGATTGAAAATTACAAATGTGACAACTTATATAAATTTTTTTCATAATTTTCATAGAATTCTAATGATGTGTAGCAGTAACAACTATCACATTTAGCAAATTTCAAACTCTACTCATCATTTTGGGAAATTTTTGATAACAAATGCTTTCGTAGTAGTTTAGTATTTGTATTTTACAAAGATTTGAGCCTTGAGTATTATAAATAAACAGTCAAAGATGGGCCTTTTTTTTTTTTAACCAAATACTACTAAAATATCTAAATTAAAAAATAGCGACAAAATATATTTTCTGGACTTTTGCTTTGTACAGTTTTAGAAATAGGTTTGAATTTATCAGAACAAAATTGTATAATGGTTGATTTGGGCTTGAATTATTTTTATTTACATAATTAAGAGTGAATAGTACTTTGTCATTGAAATTAAGTAATAAGAAATCACATAATACATTTTTCTTTACAAAGTTTTGTAGTTAAACTTTTTATTGAGAAACAAATTATAACACTATTACTAAAGATATTTGGAAAGGGGTGCAAAATGTGTTATTTACTATTTTTTTCATATAAAAATATAATACTCCCTCCGTCCCATAATTATTGTCCTGTTTGAGTTTTCATTTTTAGTTCAAATTGTACTAAAAGTAAAAACCCAAACTGGACAATAATTATGAGACAGAGCAACTACTAATGAAAAAGGAAAAAGCAGAGGGGGCGTGGCCGCACTGGCTGATGCCCCTCTCCCTCCGCCTTTGCTCATATTGAATAGATCGATCACGTTAATCTGACTCTAATTTGTCATAAGCGATTCTAAATTACTCACGATCTACTTTCATCATGCTCTGGACATTAAGTATGTTCACATATTGCAAATTCAACTTCGTGTTTGCTATAATTCATTCTACATTTTTTTTTTTGCCATGGCTTGTTAATTTTAAAGTTTTTTATTTAATTTTTTTTAGATTTACCAATTTTTTACCCTAAAATTGTACATGATTTTTATAACAGTGATAAGGCGCGATATTTTTCAAACTTAAATATCTTAAAGCATTGCCCTTTTTCTATATTTTATACTATATAAGAGAATAAAGAAAATTTACTTAACATTGCAAGATTATATAATGCCAAGGTTACAAGTTTGAACACAAAAAAATAAAATAAACAAATTTACGGAATAAGTATCACATCGATGAATTGTTAATATTGTATATGAAACACTTGATTTTCAAAAAATTGACCTCACGAGAATATGAATACAAAGTTAAACAAATTGAGAATAATTGACAATATTATTGTTAATAAAAAACTTCAATTAACCGCGAATGTAATACAATTATTATTATTACTTCTACGATTATCCTAATCTAATCAGGGTCTAGACAAGAGTACATATACACGGCAGCACTTAATTAATCTTGTCGTATTTTCTCTTTCTCTCAAACTTCAAACGTCAATAATCAAATAGTTTTTCTTGGAAGCATCAACTACAATTATTACTAATCGATTAATTAAGTACTAATAAAGTAATTAGGGTCACCGTAATCTCCAATTATCTTTTTTGGATTATTTTATTTCCCCCCCCCCCTAAGCAATGACTTGTCCGCTATTTGGGGTCGAAATTTTGTTTAATAAGCGGCGTGGACACTGTTTAGGGAACCTGTACCCATTTAAGGATACGCCTTTTTCTTTTCCTTTTCTTTTAGTAATAATAGGAACATTTCACCTTATCTTTTTTGATTATGAAGTTTTGAAAATCTATATGTAGTAGTACTTAAATTGTTTATTTTTATTATTTAGTCCTTCTATCTGAAAAAAAAATTCACATTGATTTTTCAAATTTGTATAAAAATTAAATCTCAAAACTCAATGAGCACTATTTTTTTGGAACATAGGTAATTGAATTTAAGATCCATTTCTGACTTTTATATATTTATTTGAGGGTGTGCAGAGTGTTTTTTCATTGATATTTAGGACAAACTATCCCTCCAAAATATAACTAGGTAACAAACCATTTGATGGACTGATTAGTTAGTAAGTTCTTAATATTAGTATGATTCTGCATAATTAGGTTACCTAAAGCTTTTTTATTTTTTTTTTCTTTTTCCATTTTAAACTCGCTAATTTTCATTTATTTGTAATAAACGCATTTAAATCTTATAAACATAACCGAACTTTTATCGAAAAAAAGACTAGATTCATTTCTACCTTTTAATCATTTCTTGCATCAGTAATAATAAGAAATGGAAAATGTTCATAACGCCCTAACTATAAGAGCACGACGTTTAAATCAAATTTCAATACTTCTGCTCTATAGAGACAGCAGACCACGCAGTCCAACAAAGACCAGCAGCAATATTTTTTTTTTCCACAAAAAAAGAAAAAGGGAAAACAAAGGAGAAGAAAGAAAAAAAAATAAACTGGAAAAAAAGCACTGTCGGCTTCAACCAGGCAAAGACCATCACACATAACCTCTAATCCTTCTCTCTCTTCTCTCCGGTTTCTCTCTCTACGTATCTTTTTTATCTTTTGCAATTTTTTTTTTTTTTTACTGAAAGTTTTATTTGTATTTTGGAGATTAGTTCTGTGGGGTTTCACTATATTCAATCTCGATTATTCCCTCACTGTTTGCAATTACAAAATTGATCGATCAATCCGAGGATTTCGTACATAGTTTATTTAAATTTTTATTCTGGAGCTGGAATTAGTCTGTTACTTGAGCTGGAGTTCGCTTTGGGGGTTGATTAGTACTGGGAGACATAGTAATTTGAGTAATTGCATATGGAAATGGCTGACTTCCCTAGGGTTTGGATATTTGGGAGCAAAAAGTTTGGTAATTAACAGGTATTTTTTTTTTTTGTTATAAAACTTATTGGGGATATTATTTTTCATTTTGGAGTTTTGCACACGTGCTTAAATTACGGCAAACATTAGTGGGATGAATAGTGGTTGATATTTTTTGGATTTAATTTTGGATTTGTGGGATTTTATGGGTTTGCTTTGGATCTTGAGTTTCTGGAACAATGTAAAGCTTTGATGTTTACTTTTGTAAACTTTTGTTTTGGATGATTTTGCAGTACATGTTTATTTTATGGAGTAGTGTTCTGACTTACTGCAGTTCTAAACTTATTTCTGTATGGTTTCTGTTTGTTTGTTTTGTGGGGGGTTGGGGATGTGGAGAGGTGTTTGCCTGTGAGGCAGTATTAATGTTAATTGGATCTCTGATGTTTTGTTCTTGTTCTGTTTATTTTATGCAGTACATGTTTATTTTATGGAGTAGTGTTCTGACTTACTGCAGTTCTAAACTTATTTCTGTATGGTTTCTGTTTGTTTGTTTTGTGGGGGGTTGGGGATGTGGAGAGGTGTTTGCCTGTGAGGCAGTATTAATGTTAATTGGATCTCTGATGTTTTGTTCTTGTTCTGTTGTTGTAATCATCAGTAGATTAGGATATTGATTCATTTTTTTGGACGAGGGATGACAAAAGTTGACTTACTTTATGGGAAATATCTGCAGAATTTATGCATATAAAGAGATCAAAAGGGTATGTGGAATGTGTCTAGGTTCATACTTTTTGGGTGATTCACGTGTTATAGTTAGTAGCTTGAAAAAGTTCTACGTAAAATCCGTTTCCCGCTGTATTTTTGGATCTCAAATGGAATGCATTTAGACATCTCTGCTCTCTTAGTAATATACATGAGGAGGCCATCTACAGTTTGCTTTAATTGCTGTTTTGTTTTTGGCTGTAACTTGATTGAAGTTTTTGATTGTTCTGATTCATTTCATTGAACTTTTCATGTCTGCTTCAGCTCAGGTGTGACTTCAGTTAAGTAAAAGTTTCTGTTTGGTTGGCAGAACTTACGATAGACAACTTATAAAAGTTTAAGAATTTCCAGAGGCGCTCTTATGGCCCAAGTTGCCGCAAATCATTTTGCTGCAGGCTCGCACCCAGGTTTGCTACTTGCCTTGTGTTTACTCATTAGCTTTTTGGCATGCAATAATGAAGTTATTGACTGGCTCAAAGTCACCGGTTTTTAATCTACACCAAGCAAATGCGATTTACTAATTAATATGTCCAGTAACACTTTATATAATTACGCTTTTTGTTGTAGATGGAGGCCCTTGATTGTTTTTAATCTACCTGCTCCCATTTTTTCATTAATTATCCTTGAGTTCTCGTAGAAATGTCTAGGATTTGATATGTGGCATCTCTGTTTCTCTGTCTCCTCCGGCCCATAGTTTATTCGGTTTGCACTTGAATGGTTCTGCCAAATTTCATCCCAGACTTCGCTTGATGGCTTTCATGGCTGGGAAAAATATGTAAAAATAGTCATCTTAGTTTTCTATGCATAGTTAGGGATGATTAACTATCTAGATCAATTTGTCTCTCGTTAATAGGTCTCAGTCATCCTTGCAAATAAGATTGGCATGCCCAGTTGCTTTGGGAATTGGAAGAAATTTCAATTATTGTGATTATTTTGAGCACTTTTGGTTTCTGTATCAGGGTCCTTAAATGATGCTCTGTATAAAGAGCTATGGCATGCCTGTGCGGGGCCTCTTGTTACAGTTCCTCGTGAAGGAGAAAGAGTTTATTACTTCCCGCAAGGCCATATGGAGCAGGTATTGTATTTCCATTGAATATGACCTATAAATCCTCTGTGCTGTGTCCTGCTATTTCTTTCACAAGTTTAGTTTTTTGTCTGCATCTGGACTAGTCTAAAAGCCATTTTCTTTCAGCTTGAGGCGTCTACACATCAGGGTCTAGATCATCAGCTTCCTTCATTCAATTTACCATCTAAAATTCTATGCAAAGTCATGAATGTGCAACTGCGGGTATGTTTCTTAACTTCTCTTCTTTATTTCTGATTGGACTGATCTTCTTCAGTGATTGAGCACAGAAGTATTTTCGTTCTTTGACGGGTCATGATAATGTTGTCACTGATGTTGCAGGCTGAACAAGACACAGACGAGGTCTATGCTCAGATAACACTGCTACCTGAACCAGATGTAAGCTTTTCTCTGAGAGCACTCTTGTTCATTGAGCATGGTTTGTTTGAGAGTAATTTTACACCTATTTTTATGCTTTTAACTTTGTACTTGCTTTAGTGTTTTATTATCCTCACCATTGTGAACTTTCTTCTGTGTTTTAGCAAAGTGAGATCACAAGCCCTGATCCACCGCTTCCAGACCTTCAGAGATGCACTGTCCATTCATTTTGCAAGACACTTACAGCTTCTGATACTAGTACTCATGGTGGTTTTTCTGTACTACGGAGGCATGCAGATGATTGTTTACCTCCTTTGGTAATGACTTCACACTTAGCCTTCTATAAATATGTTTTCCACTACATTTAGTCTTAAATTTCTCCTCCTCCACCCCCCTTCCCTCCCTCTTCCTCCTTCTGTAGGATATGTCCCAGCAGCCACCGTGGCAAGAATTGGTTGCTACTGATCTACACGGCAATGAATGGCATTTCAGGCACATCTTTAGAGGTTAGAACTCCTATTTTCTTGTATTGGAGTTCTCCATGTATATCCTATAGTTCTCTTTACTGACGTAATTTTGCTTCCAAAATGAAAATGTAAGCATGGTTTATTTGCATTTTATTTCCACTATTTGTATTTACTAAGCTTATGTAATATCTTTAGTTCTGACCTCAAATTCTCATAGGCATCAGGACCTCTTAATTGTTCGCATTTTGATGTCTTCGAATGATTTTAATTTGATTGGCATTTGATTTTATTTCCATTTGCTGGGTTTTTATGGGAGTAACCGATTTCAGGTCAACCTAGACGTCACTTGCTAACAACTGGCTGGAGTGTATTTGTCAGTGCGAAGAAATTGGTCGCGGGAGATGCATTTATTTTCTTAAGGCAAGTTACTAGATATCTGCATGTACAATCCTGGTGTTTGCGAATAGCTTCCTGTTGTTATTTTGTTATGCAAATATGGTACTGAATTGGGCATTATTCTCATTTTCTTTGTATAGAGGAGAAAATGGAGAGCTTCGAGTTGGTGTAAGGAGACTTATGCGGCAGCTGAACAATATGCCATCTTCTGTGATATCCAGTCACAGCATGCATCTGGGTGTTCTGGCTACTGCTTCACATGCCATTTCTACTAAAACTCTCTTTTCAGTTTACTATAAGCCCAGGTTATTTGCTTGTCATCTCTCTGTGTTTATATGTATGTTGATATCTTTCTTTCTCTTTCTCCTGAATCCTATTTGTGCTTCTTCTGTAATTAAATATAACCTAACAGTCTCTATGATGGTCAGGACAAGTCGATCTGAGTTCATTGTTAGCGTGAACAAGTATCTTGAAGCTCGGAGCCATAAACTTTCAGTTGGTATGAGGTTTAAGATGACTTTTGAGGGTGAAGAAGTTCCTGAAAGAAGGTATGGCCTGCATCATCCTATTCAGATAACAAAAATTGCTTGTCAAATATGAAGTCTTGTCATATTTATGGATTTTTGTTTGCATGTTTTTGTGCAGGTTTAGTGGAACAATTGTGGGTGTTGGAGATAACACATCATCGAGATGGCCTGATTCTGATTGGAGGCATCTGAAGGTAATTATGAAGCAAAATCAATGAAATTTCACATGGTTGAGGTGTTTAAATACTGTTGTGTCATCCTTTTAGGACAAACTTTTGGCTGTTGCCAAACTACTGTTGTAGAGATTGTTATTATTGCTGCTTGCTGCGAAGGGTCGTTTCTGTCTGATTTGCAGAATGTGTTTTTTACTCGCTTTTTGGTTAAGTTGTTGGATTAATATGGATGAAGATTCTAAACCCTTGTCAGAATTGGAGTTGCCTGAATCTCCTTATCGATTTTTTCTTTACCTTTCTGATCAATATCTACAATCCTCAGTATTTCACGATTTCTTTTCTTTTTTCCATTTCTCCTGTATTGTAACAAACAACTTGTACATCTGGTATTCAGGTTCAATGGGATGAACCTTCATCCATTTTGCGCCCTGACAGAGTTTCACCATGGGAGATAGAACCACTGGTTGCAGCCACTCCCCCAAATCCTCAGCCTGTACAGAGGAATAAGCGCTCAAGACCTCCTGCTTTACCTTCTCCTATGCAAGATCTTTCCTCTTTAGGTGCACATTTACTTCGAGGGATCTACTAGTTCTTAAACATTGATGGCTATTTAATTACAAAATAATCTAATTTCCATCTCTACAATTATATTTTGTCTCCTCTCTGTAGGTGTGTGGAAGTCTACTGTAGAACCCTCATATAATGATCCATCACGTGCCAACGACTTTTATCCATCCCCCAAATTATCTGCTGTAACCAAGGCCAGTGAGAACAATAGCAAATCAATGTTTTGGTCCAATCAAGTTGAGACAGTAACAGAGTCTGTTGCACCTGTTACTGAGAAGAGACAGCCTAATGGGTATAGGCTTTTTGGAATTGAGTTACTTGATCATTCAACGGTTGAAGAAACATCAGCTATTGTTAATTCTGGAACTGGCGTTGAGGATCAACCAATACTTTCCCGCGATTCAGATTCCGATAGACTCTCTGAGCGCTCACATCCCAATAGGTCTGATGTTCCTTCAGTTAGTTGTGACCCTGAAAAATCTTGTCTAAGGTCTCCTCATGAATCACAAAGCAGGCAGATCCGGAGCTGCACTAAGGTATTGTCAGTGTGATGTGTGTTACTCGATAAGAGTAAAGTTTACTCTAAAAGCTAGCTAGACCAGTAAGTAAATCCTTTTTGAAATGAGAAAAATGAACCGTTTCTCTCCTTAGTGGCCCTAATTGAGAAACAAAAATCGGTCTGGCCCTTAACACATTCTGAGATGTTTTTATGTCAGCATATACACAGTTTCCTTCCATAGGTTTTTATGTTCGAGGTAGCTGAGTTTGAAATCACTTTTTGATTAACAACTTGCTTTTAACTATAATGGATTGGGAAGATTAATTGTTTAACGACAATTTCACTTGGAAACTCGATTGTTTTCTCTTTGTGTTCTTTCTTTCCCCCGTCTGTGTCCAACCCATTAGTTCCCTTATGTAGGTGCACATGCAAGGCATTGCAGTTGGGAGAGCTGTTGATCTGGCAAGGTTGGATGGGTATGATGATTTACTAAAGAAATTAGAAGAGATGTTTGAGATTGATGGTGAACTGTGTGGGTTTACAAAGAAATGGCAAGTTGTATATGCAGATGATGAGGATGACATGATGATGGTTGGAGATGATCCATGGCAGTTAAGTTTTAGTGACTTAGTACTCTTCCTTTCATTTCTATATCTTTTCAGTCCATGTCCCTGCTCGTGCTGGGTTGAATTAAGCATTGTTTAACATTCAAAGTATTTATCATCTCGGTTCCAGTTGTTTGAGATGTTTCTCCTTTTCTGTTTGAGTGTAATCTAGGCTTTATCTAACTTTGTTGGTAACCTATGCAGTGAATTCTGCGCTATGGTGAGAAAAATCTTTATCTACACGACCGAAGAAGCTAAGAGGCTTTCACCGAAGATAAAGCTTCCTGTTGGTGAGGTCAAACCTGGAAAGGCAGCTGCAGATGCTGCTGGCGCCGAGGAGCAGTCATCAAATGTGGGGTCTGGTTACTGATGTAACGGTGCCCCTTGACCTCATAACCACTATAGTATAGGACAAACAATTAAAGGAGGAAATTCTGTGGGATGGGGGAAGAATATATGACCTTTTTTTTTTTTTTTGATATGCTATTTAGTTTGTCTTACGCGCTGCCGATGATGCCGTGGATTGATAACTTTGCCCATCCTGGATGACTGATTCAGTTATCCTGACCTGTTGTGGCAAGGTTGCTGGGGAAGCAAAAAAGGACGGGTTTTGTTGTTTTTCTTAACTGATTAGAAGTGGTGGAATGGTGCATAAAAAAGATAAAAGATTCCAATCCATGGTAGTATTATAGTGTTTTTTCGAGCTTGTCAAAGGAATCTTATAAGGTTTGCCTAAATGAATGAATTCCACTAGATAAGTTTGTCACCTGCACTTACTCTCTCTCAGAGGGTGTAAAGATGCGAATTTTATTTTTTTATTTTTAGTTCGGAGTTTATTGGGATTTATTATTGCATGACATGACATGATAATGCGGGCTGGGTTTTGTATATATTCTAGAGATTCATTAGTTCTCGCTGTGATTGTTGCATGGGGGATGTTGCTTCAATTTGTTTATGTATTGCCCTTTTTGTTTCACTAAGCTGAAAACTGAAGGAGAATAATGACTTTTATCATGCATGGTAATGATGATACAAGGCAATTGCCGTGGTGTCAAAAGTGTCGGCCCGCAGTTGCTGAGGTCTTCGATGTGTCAATATTAAAAGTTGGACATTTTAAATCCTGCTAATCAAAGTGTATTAATATGGTAATCCAAACACATAAAGTAAATTGATGTGACTTAGACATTGTAAGATTCATGGACATATTTTGTTTGAAAGAGGGCTCCACCTTAATAATTATATTAACGTTTCAAAGGAATTTTTTTAGTGGAGGCTACGGCTACCACAACGGTCATGAGATTTGAATGAAAAAAAGTCTCAAGTGAATGTTCCATCTCATGCATTCTTTACCTAACATCTTCTCCAGAGCCTAATTCCTGCGCAGCAAATTAAGGCTCTACCAAAAGAAGTTGAATTCCCTGGAAAGAAGAAAATCAGAGATGAAGATGATGAAGAAGCTCAAATTTTGGTCAAGAAAGAAGAAGAAAAAGAAGGCATTTTGCATTGATGATTCCCCGCCACTGCCACCACCACCGACATTCCATTCACAGCGTTATCAATACTACTATTACCCAATTGAGCCCTCGGCTCCGCCTTTACCAATATCATCCTCCTCCTCCTCCTCCTCGTCTTGGGTTGAATATGATCATCACATCCATGAAACCATTTCTTTTACTTCTTCAACCCAAGCTCAAGTCCCTGTGTATCCTCCTCCACAAGACATCCACCGTGTTCCTGAAATTAGCGCTCACGATCCTGTGCCATCTGCTTCTGATGAATCTGCTTCCTATCAGCAGCATACAGTGCAGAATCCTGTTTACGGCGTCCCGATTGTATCTCAAGAAGCTAAGACAGAGAGCAGTGGAGGCGCTTTTGGATGTGTGTTTACCATTGGAGCTCACTTGTTTCGTTGCTTCTTCCCCTGTTTTCACATTCAAGAAGTCAATCGACATGGATTTTTGCATTCTTCAAGCCACCATGACTTGAAGAAGTTACTGTGAAAGTGTGATTTTATCTCCCCTTTTGTAATTCTACTGAAAGAACTTCGATCATAGCACTCATAAAATAAAGCTGCTTTTGTTATACTGAAGATTAAGACCAAACTGCCTTTGCCTTTCTCAGATATCAGAAACTGATGCATATTCAGGCTTAAGATCCAATCGTTCCAGCTTGAGAATTTTCAGTTTTAGTGTTCTTTTTGTACCATAAAACAAAATACCATAACTACGTTTGCCAGAAGACTTCTAAAAATTTATTAGGTATGGTGCAGTATGCTTAATCATGATGCATATTCTAACACCAAATGAGAAGGATAAATGGATGCCGTGTAAGGCAAAATATATGATTATAAGCCTGGATTTGTCTCGCAAATAATTTACCAACAGTTTACAGGGGAGATTTCCAAAAGGTAAAAAACACTAACAAAACATAAACAAATCGCCCCCATTAACTTTTCTAAACTTCCTATAGCATGTGTTAGTAAACAATGAACAGTGAGTGAAGAATGTGGCAATCAGTTCACTATTCCTCCAGCTTTTCCATTGCAGTTTCGCGGCAGGTCCTTTGATAGAAGTACAGTCGATCCAGACGCATTAAGATACAGAGTACTTTGTGTACTAAGATGAATCCAGACACATTACTGCATGTGTACACGAGAGATTCACTGACCATGTCATCTCCTATTGCAGTAGATGGCATATTGTTTTCAACCAGTGTGGCTTATCAATGTTAGTCTCAAAGTACAAGTGAGATTTTCGTCCTATGCATTACAAGTAAAGAGATGCCGCAAAAACAATATCTCTCTTGATCTTGGTAACTGCGTCTTCAAATTTCAATTCGAGATCAGTTTCCCCAATGGATTTTGCAGCTTGTATTAATTGCTGCAGAACCTCTTCCAGCCTTCTTATAGCCCTGATCAAACTGCCCTCAAATACTGGTGTCATTTCCATTATCTCGTAGAACTTGGACCCCTTTGCCCAGGCAAATACAGCCTCCATGATATCAGGACGGAAAGAGCTCACAAAATTCTCAACATCAATCTGAACCTGCAAAGAGCATAACATGCATTGTTTTTCATAGCATTCTCAAAGAACTGAGTCTTGACTATATACTACTTGCAACAAGGGGAAAGGGATAAAACAGAGCTCCAGCTCGCAAATTTCCAAATGCTGGACTCTACTGCATACTAAATGTTTATAAATAGAGGTCAAGTTACTAACAAAAAAACATTATCACAACACACCCTGTTAATTCTTAGGTTAGTCTTAAACTCTGTTCAGGAAGAATATTTGCACATGCTTCTTGAACTTCAGCAGGTTAACAACAAAATAAGAACAATAACAAATATGAAGGCCTCTTCTATTACTCCCTGAATTCCAAAAATGAGTCGCTTTTTGGAGAGTAAACTTTGAGAGAACTTTCTTCTAAGGCAACTTTCAAATATTAAGGAAATTTAAATCTACCTTGCACTCAAGCTGAACCTTGGCAACTCGTCGAGCCGTATCTTGCAATTGCGTAAATAGCATCTCAAGCTCATCTCGAGGTTTTGAAGCATCCTGCAGCTTCTCTTGCCATACGAAACAAGATAGCAAAGCTACCATCTCTTCTATTTTTATGTCCTTCAGAACTCCATTGAACATGAGTTCTGTCAAGGTCAACTCATCTGCACTGCTGATTTCACATGCAACTTTCCCCTTCAACTCAACAACATCATCACTTGTAACGTATCTGCACACATCACAAATTCACACATGATTCTCAAATTTCAGCCAGAAGGAATTCAATGCGGTTGTGGAACCACACAGTGAACTGATATACAGAAAAACCAACTGAAACAAAGCAACATACCCCATTCTTCTAAGCACTCTTTTCCTTGCTTTAAGTTCATCTTTGAAAGCCAATGCGGTTGAAGAGCGCATGCTCTTTTTGATAGATTTGATTTTTGCGGTGATCTCCTTCTTCGTGTGCAAAAGTTTGAGCTTTTGCTCAATGAGAGGAGATTTTGCAATAACATGCTTTTCAAAGACGCTTTCAAGAGCTTCTATCCTATCTACTATTTTTCTGTACGATTTGCTCTGAACCTGAAGAAACACAATGAAAGGGTGAATACAAACCAATAGATGAAAACATCAGTGGAATGGAAAGTCAACAATTACCTTCATATCAGCTTCCGGATCTAATTGTGGCAATCCATCTTTTGCAAACCTAGAGAGAACTTCCAAAACCTTTTTCAGAGTATTTTCCCGAGCTTCCAATGGCAAAAGATCCTTCGGTATCACTAGACGAACACTACTCAACCCATCAATCTGCCAAAAGGAGAAAAAGAAATTCCAGGTTTTAATGCAAACAACGTCTCACAAACACATGTTTATCTATGGACAGATAAACATACATGATATCGTCCATCCAATATGGTTTGCACATATGATATGTAACAAAAGTTTACCTGTGAAATAGGAAGAGACACAACAGCCGGTTCCCCAGCTTCCTTCAATGGGACAATTGTTATTGTCCTTTTACCAACTTCATCCTTCCTAATCACACATCTTGTGAGGACGTCCACAGTATAACTTGCATTTTCAGGCTTAATATTTGTATCATCTGAATAAATAGCACAATAGTATAATTTCATAACTGAAGTTTAAACAGAGAACTGTAGACAAATTGAAATCTGATCTCACCTTCCGAAAGACCTTTCACCCTTTCAAAATTGATTATGACTCCCCACGTAACGTTGTCCTCGATAGAAAATGATGGCAAATTATCATCAACCTTAGTGAGCTGGATGCTAACAAGTCTGCCAGGCTGCAGGAAAGGTAAACAATACTTCGGAGCGAGGACTATATCGCGCACTTCCTTCTTATAACTCTTGTATTGTTGGAGCAGAGAATAGTAACTCTCCAAGCTCTCTTCTTCCTCAATCTTCATCGAATCTCGCTCTTCCTCAAGAGCTTTAGCTTGTTTCTGACATGAATTACTATTAAATTAGTTGTATAGTAAGACATGGGGAAACATGGGGATAAGTGGGCAACTTCTAGGTTGCTGTTTGTAGACATGCACAAAAGACGTGTAGACTGACCAAAAGAATATCAATCAACTAACCTCAAGATCAGGAATAGCTCGATCAACTTGAAATTGATAGAATGAGTTACGGAGCAGATTCACAGGATCGCCATCTTCTGAGCGCATCTGATTCAGAAGCATGCTATAACTTAAGTGGAAGGCACTGCAATGCATTTGCAACCACTATCAGAGGTTGGAGAAAATTCTATGCAAAGATAAAAATGCAGCCACAGGATCAGCGCTTAACATTATTCACCTCAAATTAAAAATCCCACCTCCTTCAATTGTTCATGAGCAGATTAACTACTAATTTTTTTGATTTTTTTTTTTTTTTTAACTATTAAAGCATATTTCACTACATGAGAGAATAAATTTTCTGAATCCAGAAAGATAACACAACAAGAACAATATCAGAAAAAGGTGGACAAATCTTCTCAGAGTGTAACAACTCTTCCATTAAGCGGAAGCATGTTGTAGGCAGAGTAACATAATATCAAAAGAGAACAGAAGGCAAGAATCTGGTATCATCAGCCAACACAGAATCAGCTCCTTTTTTCGTACTATTAGTTGGAGTACTTCTGTTAAGTTGATCACTAAAAACATTACCTGTTCAAACTATCAGCACTCCCTTTCAGCATTAACTTAGCTGTAGCAGGTTCCAGCTTCTCATCAACCATAAGAATACAGATTCCACGATCATCAATGCCTCGACGACCAGCACGTCCACTCATCTGAATGTACTCTCCACTGGATATCCATCTAAATTTGTCGCCATCAAATTTGCGAACATTTGTAAAGACAACAGTTTTTGCAGGCATATTCAACCCTATACTGAATGTTTCGGTGGCAAATAAGCACTGAAAGTAGAAAAACTTGTGTGAATTTCAGAGAAGACAATAGTCTGCAATGTAACACCAAACAAGAAAAACTATTGAAACAGAGGGAAAAAGCACAAGTGAAAATACTGGAAATTCTGGTGGCTGAACACTAAGTTTACTGAGAATATGCAGAAAAAACCAGTAACCCAACAACAACAAGCAGCCTTTAGTCGAGTTAGCTGCTCATATTTAAAATTTAACACAAACACCCCCAAAAAAAAAAAAAAACCAAAGAAAAGAATACAAGAAAAAGATAGATCACCTGTACTATTCGTAGCTAAAACTATTAAATTTGATAAGTTTACGTGAATTGCTTTGCTAGGAAATGAAAGTAGTAACTCTGCACACAAGAAAAGCTCCAACAAACTTAATAAGGGAGAAATTAACGTAGTACATACAAAAACTCATTCTTTACCCCAATATGCAGGGCCGGGTGTACAAATCACAGATAGCCACCCTCTCTATCAGAACATACAGTTTCATTTATATGGAAGTGTATCAACTCTTTTCTCTTAAATTCTTAAATAGTTGTCAGTTTTTCCCTTCTATTTTGATATGGAGTCAATAACCATCTAATTTCTACAGCTGTTTTAGTGCATGTAAAGGACTTCAACGCAAATAACTAATAAAGATCATTATCGATGTCTACCAACCTTGATTAATCCTTCTTGGAACAAGATTTCTATCACTTCCTTCAATATGGGGAGTAAGCCAGAGTGGTGTACACCAATTCCACGTTTCAACAAAGGCAACATATTTGAGACCTGGGCATTATTAAATAGAGATGGAGTTGGAAACACAATGAAAGAACTTCACTTGCTACATGAATCGGCATAAAAATAAATCTAAAGGAAACACGACAAAGGGAATAATCTGATAACAAAGGCACGTAACCTGCGGCAGCTTCTTGTCATCATCTGACAACATATCCATCGCACTCCAGAATATATTTTCAATGTTCACTTTCTCATCATCGCTGTTGAGATCCATTTTAGCCATCTACAAACATGTTAAGCATAAACAATCAGTATATGACATCTGAGTTAGATTCATAATAGTGCCTGAACTTTCAAGAACAAATTTGATTCATTGGACCAAAAGTTTAATCTTCATTCAAGCTCACACGTGGACCAAAGTACAATTACGAGACCAATAAACCAAACCAAATCAAAACCAAAAAAAAGAAAAAAAAAAGGAAGGAAAGAAAAAAGAAGAATGTGGGGGTACAATTATGAGGTAAAATAGTAGCAGAGGATTCTAATATAAAATGGAAAAAAAACTAAAATAAATTTGTAACATAAAATTGTGGGGGAAACCAAGGGATTTCACACCCCCGGAAATAAACACCAATATTATCAAAATCTATACCTGCATCGCAAGGAATTCACACTCTCTTTTGCTGAAGCTAAAACATATCACAGGATCATATTGGCGCTGAATAATCATTTTGACCATCTTGAATATATCACTGTCTTCGCCTGCTTTACCAATCACCACCCCCTTCTGCCATTTTCCATTCTCTCTTTTTTTACTGCCATCACTTGGAGGAATAAGAGCATTCAGGGCTTTCTGAAAGCTATCTTCCCGAAACTTTCCTTTTTCATCAACTACTAGGTAAAGACCATTGCCTCCGGAAGGGAAGATGTAATGCTGGAGTGGTGTTGGTCTATAGTCAGTATAAACGATATGGCACGGTTGTTGGTGAACCTACATGCCAGGAATTAAAATCAGCAAGTGGCACTGAGATTAACAAAATACAAAGAATGCAGTAAAAAGGGGACAGAAAAAGAAAAGAAAAGAAAGAGACACCTTCCTAATGATAGAAAAAGACAACAAGCAACAGTTGAAAAATAACAATTCTTAAGCATCCGTGGCTGATACATTGCAACTTTAACAACTTCAAAGAAAGAAGACTATCCATCCCTAGCATATTAATCCAATGGAGGGGAAGCAAAAGGTACCTTTGCAACCCAATCGGCAAACTCCTTAGCATTAGGGACAGTAGCAGAGAGGAACACAAATCGAGAATTCTTTGGTGCCATAACAATACTCTCTTCCCATACCACGCCTCTTTCTTTATCACGCATGTAATGTACCTCATCAAAAATTACCCATGCCACCTCCCTGGTAACCTCTGACCCTTTATACTGCATACTACGCCAAATTTCAGTTGTCATTACCTGAAAAACATAGAAAATTGGCCTCCCAATACAACACAAAATGTTTAAGAAAATAAACATTACATCACCAAGTTCAACCTACCAAGCAAGAAGCATGAGGATCAATTGTGACATCACCAGTCATCAAACCAACGTCTGAAAATTCTTCTTTGAACTCTCTATACTTCTGATTACTGAGTGCCTTAATCGGCGAAGTATAAATCACACGTTGCTGGTTCTTCAAAGACATGGCAATGGCATACAATGCCACCACAGTCTTACCAGCTGATGTATGAGCTGATACCTATAATAACATTAAAAGGCATAAGATGTTAAGGCATCAGGAAACTTTTTACTCTCCCCTCTAATCATTATAACACGGTCTTACCATGACAGATTCACCACTTCTGATACATTTAATTGCTTCCAACTGGAAAGGGTCAAGAGTAAAAGGGAATTCTTTGGCAGGTTTTGCATCATTTTCAGCTAAAACTGAGCCTGACGCACCAGGAATATATCCTTCTGGGTACGATACATCATGCAAACAGGCCACAGGTCCATCCCCATTTATAACTCCATCAATTTTTGCCTGCTGTTCCACTGGCATATGTTCCTCATTAGGGTCGTCTGTTGACTTCCGTTTTACTGATCCCATCTATTCTCCCAAAAACAAATTCACACACAACCAGCAAAATTAAACCTGGGCAACCAAAAAACAAAAAAAAAAAAAGTCAATGCAAGAACGTCGGAATATGCATTAAGATACATAATTTAACACCCAAGCCGTGTTTGTGCTTATGCTGACAAGCAGACCTTATAGTGGAAACCAAGAGTTCAACACAAGAAAGGAAAAACTGAACTGCACCTAATTTTCGAACCCCTTAAAGATTAAGATAACTATCTCGAATAAATTCTTCTTTGTAGTTACTTGCGTTTTCTATGGCTTCACTCTACTGTCCATTATCAACACAGTAGAACCCTAATGACAAGTGCAAAAGTTTGTAGTCAGCAGAGCTAAAATTTATTAACCTTTCCGGAAAGACAAGCAGACAACGGCAACGGCAATGGCAGTGACGGAGGAGCTTTGATTAACTGTGTTGCCGGTGATTGAAATTGACAACTCAGGTCCGCCGCCTCGGAGTCGGAGAGAGAGAGGGGAAGAGGAGAGAACAGGTTCGGTTTTATGACGGTTCTTATGAATTTGAAACGTTCAACAAGCGTACGACGACGTTTCGGGAATTGGCAACGCTGCAATCTCACACAGAAAACCCTCATGTCGTGATAAACCCCTAATTCCAGGAAATTGCATTCTTAATCCGTTTAGTATGGCTTTAGTGATACAATCTGTCCCTTTTATTTTAGGCTTTGGAAATTGATCTCCTTACCTTTGAAATAATGATCTTTCGGTCCTTAAAATTGAAAACCAGTTTTATTTATACTGTATTTTTAGTTTTCATCTTTATCAAAAAGAGCAATGATATGATTGATCATCGTGTAATGATAAGAAATCATTTTGATGGTGCTTGATGATTCCAAATTTCCAACTTCCAAGAGCCCCGTGTTGAAGTCATTGGGGGCAGAAGGGAGTTAATATTGTGGTTGCTCAAACATGCATAAAGATTGCCAAATTTTGCAGAAAATCTTATGGTTGCTTTCGCATACTTACGTTCGGTTGGTGTAGAGTTTTTATGTAATATACATCTGCAGAAGAAAGTGAGACGAGACTACTGCACCCTTCTATTTTACTTCTAGACCTCAATTTTAAAGACCTCCATTGTACAAAATTCACCGTCTGCAATCATCTCACATTCAAAGGTAAGTAGGTGAAGGAGTACCGAGTCAGGAGAACTTCTAAAACCATTCAAAATTCTCTCTCAAAATTCTTTTTAGTCTTCATCTGAGTCCAACTGCCTTGAACTCGTCTTCTTCCTTTTGTGCTTGCTTGATCTGCTCTCACTTCTTGACACCGATCTTGCCTCTTGCGAATACTCCTTGATCTGGGTATGCGACCTGGACTTTTCATGAGACTTTCTTCTCTTCTTGTGAGTTTCTTCTTCGTCAACATTGTCACGTTGAGGATACTCCTCGATCTGGCTATGCGACCTCGACTTTCTTCTCTTCTTGTGAGTTTCTTCTTCGTCAACATTGTCTTGTTGCTGAATGATTCTTCTGTCACTGTTATCATCCTTCCCATCGCGATGATCACCATTTGCATTCTTCCTGCTTGAATGGTGGCGCATCACTTTATCTGCGGAATCCTGAGTCTGGTGTGTCTGCAGATTGGATTTGGCATGATCATATTCTCTTCGATGGTGTTTGTCGCGCACATCTCTTCCTGAATCCCAGTGATCAGTGGACAACTGTGAAGGTTCATTTCTAGGCGTTCGAGACTTTCTTCTTCGATCATGGCTGCCTTGTGTGATCTCATCAGACGAATCTCCAGTGGAATCACTAGCATATTTTCTTCTCTTCCTATACGAGTGGTCATTTGAGGAAAAAGATTTCCTATTCTCATATAACTCCTCTCTGCTGGAATCAGAAGGATAAGATCTTTCATTGGTACTGTAGTCCCTATTATGCCCAGATACAGATGAAACCTGTTTTCTTGATCTCTTCGTTGGATATCTACGATGTTTATCTCCACCCATTCCCCTACAAGATGACTCTGAACCAGACAAGTATTCAAGGCTTCCACTCCGAGTCTCTTGACTATCAACTGATCCGGACCTTCCATAGTGGTAACTTCTAGAGGTTTTTCTTGCTCGATCATGAAATCCATCAGCATCATGGTCTCTGTCCTCCCAATCTCTATCAGATTCACTATCATAATGTTTTTTTCTTCTCTTGTCATGGCGATGCCTAGTAGAATCTCTTTCTACTTCATAATCTTTCTCATCAGAAATTCTTGGCCTCCTTGAATCATGATCTCTTGAATACCTTCTCCGATGTGTATTGCTTTCAGATCGATTGTTGTCATAATGATCTCTTGGGCTCTTGCTTGAATACTCAACTTCCCTTGACTGGGATCTTCGAAATTGATATCTATCAAAATATTGAGAAAAACAGTCCCAGGAAACAGAACATTTAGGGTGTGCACTTTCTAACTAGCTTGACAAATTCTTCAAAACTAATTCTTGTAGCCTAACAATGAAAAATTCCATGATTATCACAATAAACAACAAGAAATATGCTTAAGATGGAGTAAACAATGATAAAGTCTCTTTTTCTACCAGCCTGATCCAATGAGCAAAAAGTACTTGACCACCTTGTTGCTTCTTTTTTTATCAAGCAATTATAGGTAAAAGGAACTCTATTCAACATATCTCAATAATTGCCAACCTTTTGCTGGAGTACCTGCGATGTTCTGAGCTTTCTCGTTCAAACCCTTTCTCATGGTCACACTCATATGCATAACCAAACAAAGCAGCCATCTTCTTCACCCAATATTTCGGGGGTGGTTTATCCCAATCAGCCCACTCATAATCTCCACCTGGGTTACGGAAGCAGTGAATGAAATTGCATGCAGTCCCACGAGAGCATGTCTAACAAAACAGTGGATTACAAGGGGCAAAATAAGTTAGAGATGCAAACATAAGAATATAAAAAACTTGAAAATGTTTCTGCAACTTTGTCAGATACTATTTGATAACAAAAACAACACAAATAAAATACACTACAATTTGAATGGCAGTAGCACCTTAAACTTTGATTTCATATACTCCCCACAGATAGCAACTCTCCACTTTGTCACACCAACAAACTCACAGCTTACCTATCAGCCATGAAAAATATCTTAATGTCATACATCAACAACAACAACAACAACAACAACAACAACAACCCAGTATCTTAATGTCATACATAAAGTCAGAAATAGAGAAACCAATTTGCAAAGAATAGAAACACAAATGCTAACAAGTTAAACAGTTAGGGACTTCCAGCTTCTAATATTACATGATTGGGAACTCAAAGCACATCAGTTTCATTCATTTCTTACCCTCAAGAAAAAAAGTTTCATTAATTTGTATTAGCTATAAAAAGTTAACCAAAGATTTTGTCATTCCCCTTTCCTTTTTAGTGAAGAATCTAAACAGTAAACCGAGAGGGTAAGCCAAGTCAATCTAACAATTCCCGGTCAACTACAACAGCAAAAATATAGGGGACACTGAAAGTGAGTTAGTATACCAAGAGGAAAGTAGCAGGGGGTGACTGCACTAACAAAGCATACACAAGGGGGCATGGAGGCATTCTGTGGTGTAGCTGACAACTCAGAAATTTTTAAAGACTAAAGATAAACCAATGAGGCCTTCAGGTAAAGCCTCAAATCCAATCAGAAAAATAAATTAATAGCCCAGTCGGAATTAACTACAGAAGTCAAACACCAAATGGGTATCATCTCCTAAAGTGTGACTAGCTTAAGTACAAAAACTTCCAAGAGAGTACCTGTTTGGCAGCGAAATAGCGGCCATTGATAGCCTGATAAGCAAGAACAGCAGCATCTAAAGATACATAATGTACATATACATTTCCTCGCAAATGATGTGAGCCATTTCTGCAAACCTACACACAGCATCATACACCAAGGACACAAGTCAAAGAAAGAAAGTGGCTCTCTCATACAACATCTTAAGTAAATTATAATAGACGTTAAGGCCACAATATGTTCACTTCAGATCAGTAAGCAAATGGGGCTTTCTAGATGTACAACTGTTCCTACGAACAAGGAAATACTTTTCATGCAAACACCTTAACAATTCTAAATAAAAATGTCAACTGGCAAGAGGCTTAAATAGTTACGAAGAAACTCTTCCTTCATGCTGACAGCAATTGCATACCTTGAAATTTATTATTTCTCCAAACTTCAAAAACTCTGTATGCACATCCTCATAAAACTCTTCATAAGAATGCTCAACCTCTTCGTCAGTATACTGCAAAGCAACAGGGATAACATATATTGATAGCATAAACAGGTGAAAGCCCAGAAAACTCAAATGAAAAGGATTTTTCCTAAGTTGATAAGTACAAGGCTTTTTTCTCAATAGACATCTACCCACAGGCATTCATTTTTCATCTGAAGAAGTGAAACAGATCCTGAAACATCTACCCAATCTGAACTGGGAAAGAAAAGAGGCATGCGATTCATGCAGAGACTTAAAAACCAAAAAAAGGGTAAATGTAAAATTAGAAATGCACTTGTTTTTTGGTAAGTTATCCAGGAAGGGTTAGTAATTAAAGACTAGATGGATTTCAACACCCTCAGCTTTTGTATGAAATATTACAGGGACAAGCTATCTCAAAGCCAGGAGGTAGCCACGTTCTGTTTGGTGCTGTTAAAAACAGAACTAGCACTTGTATGTAAATAATGAGGATTGGCTTTTGTGTCTAAGGCCATAGAGGCATATTTCCCTACCTCCCGTCTAACCACCACCAAAATCACGCGACCATGATTTTCCAACTTCTTTTGGTACTTAACGATCAACGCTAATTCTCAAACAAAAGTCTCCAATCATGTAAAGAACTGGTCTAGCAAAAGGTTTTTCCACTTAGCATACGAACAAACATTTGTTCCCACTTACAGTTAAAATGATATAACCCCTGGCTCTAGACGAAGAAATCTGCATTAGACTAAATGTGGAGTTTCTTACAAGGCTTTAGATGGGCGCTAGCGTTTTTATTGGTCAAGTAATACAGATGTGAATCAGGTCTGGGACAGTTACACGAATAATAAATAAAGGACAACAATACTAAATAAATGCACAAGAAAATTTTAAGTCACTAACACCAAAATTTCTAGTAGACAAAAATATGGTATCAGAAATATATTAGTACTGTTCTATTCATTATCTTTTTAGTTATTCTCTCCAGCAAGAAAAAGCCAGAACAAATTCCCTTTCCTCCTAAATAAAGGACAATAAGGCCGCATAAGTCTATGTGCAATTCTTCAGAGGCTTCTTAGGATACTAAAGGATAAAACAACAAAACAGAATCTATTAAGTGATATTAGGACACACAACGTAAATAGATGTAACACATTTAGCTCAAGCACATGTAGGATACAGATTGGAAATCTTTCAACTCCAACCCAAGCAAGAGTTCAACCATGCACCTCCATCAAGTTAGAGCTACAGTTCTGCAACAATCTGAGTTAAAGAATTCAATGGCAAAATTTGAAATTATACAGAGAATAGTTAGATGCTTCACTAAAAGTAATGTCATAGGGAAACTAACATTGAAAGGCAATTGTAAAGCAAACAACCTAGCTCCAGCTAATTAACGGGTGCTATTTTAGTAAGAGGAATCATATGATCAGAGAGTATTAAAGTTCATCTATGATAACTTTCAGCAGATGAAACAGCCAGTAAGTAATAGATATAGAAAGATTGGTAACAGGATACAAGGCACTTCTTAACAGACCTCGAGCCCCTCATCCTGCTCCCAGGCCAGGCCAGGTCCATTATACATGTTCTTGATAAGCAATGTACAGGATTTATCAGGGTAAAAGTGAACTCGGCTGCAGCGGGATCCAAATCGACATGCACCAGTCTTCAGATGGAAGGGACAATGAGCTTTATCCTATAGCATATCAACAACAAATACTTATTATGAATACATTCCTCAAAAATGGAAAGCCTGTGAACCTATTAACCTCAAGTGAAAAACAAGTAATACCAGCACCAGTGCACTACAATCAAGCTATCACATGAAAGCAGAGAAGAGGTGGAAGAAGAAGGTATGCAGCACATAAGCCATGTACCTGCTCAGTCCCAAAGTTTGGAACTTGTTGTGCAACATTTTCCAACAACTGTTGAGCTGAGAGCATTGTGGTATTCTTGAAATCCGCAAAAGCTTGAGATTGAGGAAGAAGAGGATTTGACGTAGGTCTATCAGGATCCTGTTTCATAAGGGAAACCTTGAAGATCATGTGTTGCAGTCTAATGAAGAAAAGAAGATGCACTACATACAAGTAGCATTTACAAATAAATTTAAAAGAGTGAGTCATACCTCTTCCCCATTTATCTGTTCTGGCTTCTTTTTCACCCTGACTTTATTCTTCTTGATAATAATCTCATTCCCTTGCCAAATAATCTCGGGGGGTCCCTCCTCTACATATTCCCACTCGCCGTCCTCATTTTCTGCCATCTCAGATTCACCCTGGAATTCAGGCAAATAACTCATCAAAATAAGAAAAACTATTTGTTCCATACAACCCCCAGAATGAGGGAAAGGTACAAATGCCACATCAAAATCATAATTAGACAACAACGGAAGGCAGTGAAAAAGCTTGATTCAGAAGCCGTTCCTTTGGCTGCAATTGTATTAGGTTCGTACCCTTTCCAAGTGTTTGGTTGAGGATATCCGGGATTCAAGTAATGTACTGAACACATCCTTTTTGTTAATTTTGATTACACAACCCTCCCCTTGGTTTCGTCTCTCATGTTATTGACTAAAACATGCCAAAACACCCAGTTACGGCCTGAATTACGTTTGGATACCTTTATCATACAAAAATTATAACCTACTAGAAATGCAACTTGGCATGACTACTGTTTTCTCCAAAGGCAACAAAAACTGCAACAGCTATTAAACTCGTTTGAGATGCTAATGATCAACCATGGATTCAGGAACAAACTTGCTGACAAACAGAAGCCAATATTACAACTAGATGTCATGACTAGACGCTAACAGTGCAAGGATTATTTACAGACAAACAAAAAAAGAGTTACACACCTGATTCTCATTCTGTTTCTCTGCTTCTAATGCTCTTCTTCGTTCTTCTTCCTCTTCTTCCTGGGCTTTTTTCCTCGCCAAGGCTTCAAGGAACAGCCGTTCTTTCTCCTCAAATTCACGCATTTCCTTTTCCCGCCTCTCCTTCTCCCTCTCCTCTTCCAGCTGTATGCGGCGCTGCTCATCGGGATCATTAACCCGAGCTTCCTCTTCTTGGCGCGCCTTTTCCGCAGCTTCTTTCCTCTTCTGCTTTCGCTTCTCCTTCTTCAACGATTTCCTTTTATCCTTCCGGCAACGTTCAGCCACCGCCGAAGCCGATGACTTCGGCTCGCTCTCATGCAAGGACTCCGATAATTTTGCGTCTATTACTCCTTCCTGCAATTCGTGATCCTCTTCTTTCATCGCCAATTCCATAGGTCCAGTTCAAATCGCTCTAGGGTTCTACTGAATGTGCAATTGAGAGAGCTTCTCTCGAATTTGCAGTTTAAGCGCTTTTTACTTGAACAAAAGTTTAAGCGCTTTTTACTTAAACAAAAGAAAAGGTCCAAAAACGACGCCGTACCTTAAGTAAAAACTTCAAATAACGTCCGCGCTAAATGGCCGTCGCGCATTCTGGGAAGAGAGGGGATAAGAGGCCAACGAGAGAATGACAACGTCGCCAACGCCGCCGTTAGGAGCTCCGGCAGCCGCGAACATGCCCAAACTTCCGATAAATCACCGGACGGTGCTGATAACGGGAGTGAGCAAAGGACTTGGGAAAGCTCTAGCCCTAGAGTTAGCGAAACGTGGACACACGGTGATAGGATGCTCTCGCTCGCAGGATAAACTCAATGCCCTCCAAGCAGAACTTGCTACCTTCTCCGCCAATTCTCCTTCTCCGGCTTCTTCCACTCAGAGCAAGCACCTCGTGTTGAATGTCGACGTGGTACGACTGATTTCTGCTTCACTTGAATTTCTCTGCGTAATTTTTTTTTTCTGGTTTTGGTTATTGACGGTGGTGGAATTTTTCGTTCAGAGGTCCGACAGCAGTGTTGCAGAGCTGGCTCGTGCGGTCGTGGAGAAGAAAGCTATTCCTGATATTATCGGTAACTGGCAATTTAATTGGTTAGGAACATTGATTTCTGAGAATTGCTTGCTTTATAGTCTTTGCATGTTCAGAAATTGTTGGCTCTTTTTGCTTGCATTCTAGCTTTGAGAAGTGTTGACCTATTGAAATTATTTGGAACATTGTGGTATTTACTGTTAACTTGGCAACTTTGCATTGGAAGTATATTCTGGTGAACTTAGTTATGGTGGCTTTACTTTGTTACTTTGAATGATGAAATGGTGGTATAAGATCAAACAGGCATTGCTCATACTGCCAATTGATGTATAGATTTTTGTAAATTACAGAAGTTTGGACGTCTCTGCGTTCATTCTTTCTTTCATTGTCAAACCTGTATACTGTCCAGGGCAAGATATAGGAGAATTGCCTAAAAACTTGGCACTTTTTTTTTTCTGAAACATGTATGTTTTTGGAATTAAAATTTCTCTCTTTGAGTTTTTCTTCGAGTCTTCATTGAATAATTTGGAACATCAGATCTACCAGAACCAAAAATTGATTCAACTTTAAACCCCAGGGATGAAGTCTCAAAATCAAAGCTCAGTTTTGGTTGATTTTCTTAATAAAACATGGGATCAATGTTACCGGAACTGTATTTAACTTTTATTGTATGAATCTACATTTCTTATCTAGCGAATTAATGATCATCGTCTATCTGTCTTGTTCACAGTAAACAATGCTGGTACCATAAATAGGAACAACAAAATTTGGGAGGTGTCTGCAGAAGAATTTGACACTGTTATGGATACTAATGTTAAGGGGATAGCAAACATGTTGCGTCACTTCATTCCTATATTGATTGAGAGAAAGCAAGGAGTGATTGTTAACATGTCATCTGGTTGGGGAAGGTCTGCAGCTGCACAGGTAGACTTTACTGTTTTATCGTCTACTATGTCTTTGTTGTCTTTTTTGGAGTTGCATGTCTGAATTGGGTATTAAGGTGCTTCTCTACATTCAAATTGTCCTTTTGAGATTTGTTGCATGAGGGCCAGAAACCGTAAAAATGTGTGTTCATGGAGAGTCTTTTATTCATAGGGACCATATATTAGGCACTTGCCTTGCATTATGTAGCTGTACTCAGATGGCAAGTTTACAGGTAGCGCCTTACTGTGCTTCAAAATGGGCAGTCGAAGGTCTTACAAGGTCGGTAGCTAAGGAATTGCCTGCTGGACTTTCCATTGTTGCGCTTAGCCCTGGTGTGATTAACACTGATATGCTACAATCATGCTTTGGCAATTCAGCTTCTCTCTACCAGACGCCTGAGGCTTGGTATAGACTTTATCTACTTTTCTGCTTTCTTTCCTCCAACAATCGTGTGATACTAGGAATTCCTTAATGATGTAACCTTGTACAGGGCTCCAAGGGCAGCTACGATGATATTGAATCTATCTGTGGGTGACAATGGTGCATCACTCACCGTTTGACCGACAAATCCACAGATGACCACGTAGAGAAGTGTAAAGTTATCATCTCTTCTTCTTCTTCTTCTACTACTTCCTCCCCAGCCCCACCAAAGTAAGTGATTAGATTCATGTTGTAAATGCTGAAAGTTGGACTACTTTTCAAATTCGAATAGGTTTTGTCCTTCGAGACATTGACATGGCGCTGTGTTTCCTATGTTCGCTAGAATAGGTTTTATAGGTACCATTCTGTATGAGTATATTTGTTGATGTTACCATTGGATTCATGTCTATCCTGCTGATGTACTCAGTAGTTCAAAAGTTTAATCTGGAATCTGAAAGCAAATATTGGACTTTCATTTGTGTTCTTATATGCTGGAATAAGGTGGATGGTAAACACGAATTCCTGGCACCTAACAAAGGCCAGAATTACTAGTGTTTCATTAACTTTTTTTTTTTTTTTTGAAAAGTTAAAGGAACCATAATTCTCACAAATCAAGACATAGTTGTTCAGAAACTTCTACATCACTTGAGGAAATCCCTCAAATCAACGACCCTTCTAACAAAGATAAATTCTGAAAATTCATACATGGCCTGAAAAGTAGCCACAAATCCTATAAAAGCATCATAAATCGCAGGGTGAAAAAACTCACTGCTCTTCACAAGCTTAATCAGATGCATCATCATCAGGAAGGGGCTGACTGGTAGCTGCTACAACTTCAGCTTCATGCTGTTGCTGTACAGCATGGTCGATCTGCACCTCAGGTGGAGCAAGAGCAGGCATCTCCACAAAATGGAAGTTGGGATCCCCAGCAAGCTTCCTAGCAATATACAGGCAGGGCTTCTCAAAGTTGTAACTGCTCTTGGCAGATACCTCATAGTACTGCAGGTTCTTCTTGCGATGGAAGTAACTTGCTTGGCCTTGACTTGCCGGTTCTTCACATCTACCTTGTTCCCCCAAAATTGGAATATTCTCGCAGACACGCAAAGATCACGATGCCATGTAGGCACATTCTTGTATGTCAACCCAGCAGTCACATCGAATAGAATGATAGCACATTGACCTTGAATGTAGTATCCATCCCTAAGGCCACAAAACTTCTCCTGTCCAGCAGTGTCCCTGCAGTAGAACCGGATCTTCCCACAGTTGGGGAAGTCCAATGGATGAACTTCAACTCCAATAGTTGGTTGATATTTCTTCTCGGGATGTGCCTCTTCACAAAAGTAGTTTTAACGATAACAAGCTTGAAGCTTAGATAATAACCGGTTTGCTGATTGGGAAGCGCCAATGAAGCGACGAAACGAAATCAACCGCGATATTGAAAGAGAAGAACTTCTGAGGGGTTCAGAGGGAAATCTTTCTTCAGGGAAAATGAGGGAGCCGAAAGGTGTGATTCGTGTTTCATTAACTAATTAGCAGTATAAACTAGTACTGGTCTAAGGTTGGAGTTATAGCGCACTAAAATCTCTCTTGATATCTCTAAATTAATGTCTCATCTTTCATTCCATACACACCGCCAACATCCGATAAACAGTATCCATCATTATCAAACTCAGGTCACGCGCATCCCGCCCCCTATTTATAACTATGATGATGCATGAAAGATAAATACAATTTTGGATGGAGTTGGCAACTGTAAAAATAAGAATACCATTTGTTTTCCAACTCAGAATTTTTGCACTAGTAAGTCTCCGTTGGAGGCTTCCACCAAATGAAGCAAACGTGGGCGTCGCTTAGCAAGCTGACCACGAGCAAGTTAGACGAGCAATGATACAATTCAGGTACAATTTCAATGATGGGGGAGTCATGAATTGATGATCTCCATTAATGTTGTTGTTGTAATCAATTGCAAAAAGCCTATTCTTTTCCTCCAAGACATACAGCTATCCCTTGTGAAAAATCTATTGAATAATAGTTAAAGTTGGAGATTTTCGTAAAAGCCCAAGATATTTTGCCTACTCTTACTCTCATCAAGGCTAGTGATTTTCTGTGATCCAACGAAAACCCTGAGACAGAGGGATGATAGCAACCCGGAGCCGATTATTAATGTAAACCCTCTCCGCATCGTCTCTAAGCGGTATAGTACTCGCCCATCTTGAAATTATTGTCCATTTTTGGGGCAGAGGGAGTATATTACATTCCGTAAATTGATTTCAGAGCTTGCTCTCCTTTCTTCGACTGTAGAGGCTTCCAACTTGTAACTCGAATTCAGTATAAGGTTGGAGTTACCCAAATAACGACACTAAATTCGTAATAAAACCTCCTAAATGTCTCATCCCTCATGCCGAACATCCCAATGTGGGAGAGGCGGTATAACTCAACATCTTCCGTGTGTTGTGTCCCTTCGGGCTGCTGATATAAGCTAGGATGATAGCTGGTTAGGGATCTGCAGGATGCAAAAATGGGATTCTGATTGGAGTCGGGAACAAGAGATGCACAAGCGAACTTGTGCCGATAATAATCATCGGCCCAAAATATGGAGTCTGTCATTTTCCAACTCTCGGAAGTTGAAACCCATGTGAACTCATCATCATCCTTGTCAACTACTGTTTCCTACACAAAGTAATTTGAGATTTTCTCAGATGCGTTCTATTTTCAGTGGCATAGGACAAAGCAAACTACTAAGCCAGGTTGGAAACCTTTGGAAAACTGAACTCTTCCCGGTTCTTGGTGAGCTACGGACATGGAAGATAGGACTTCTATCAGATTTCTCGGATTTCTTCATGAGCAATAACTTCCCGTTGGAGGCCTCCACCAAACGAGGAGGGAACCTAAAAGGAGAGTAAATACCGAACTCTTCAGGTACAATTTCGAGGATGGGAGTCGCAGATTGATCATCTCCATTAATATTATTAACATAATCAATTGCAATAAGCCTGTTTCTTTCCGCCAAGACATACAACAAGCCGTTGTGAAAAAATTATCTCTTCCATTCTACGATAATCAAAGCCCAAAAGTTTCGTGAAAGTCCAGGAATTTTGGCCTACCTACCTTGCTAAAGGCTAAAGTTTTGTGGTCTTCTTTCCGACAAATTGCACCAACAACAAAATCCTCAGGGCGAGTGGAAGGATTACACGACAAAAACAACTTTCAAAAAGCAATTCAAAGAATCGCAAGGGATTGCATGTGATGGTCTTTTTTGGTAAAGGGATTATAGAGGTCGATCACCTTTTCGGATCGGATATTATACATAACCAACCAGCCATGAGAGGAACCAAAGTATCCCCTGGAATCAAAAACAGAATAACCCACCAGAGGAATGCAAGCAACTTGGAGTTGATTATTGTAAACCCGATCCTCCGTGATACTATAAATTTTAGACGAGTGATACCTGTTCCCTGCTTCATCCTCCGTGATGTCTTGAGATATGTTTGTATCAGGCCAATTTGGTATAAACCTGACAGAATTCAAAAGCACCGGAGGCTGTTTATGCATAGTTGCCATCCGTTTCGGCTTCTGATCCAATGCAACAGTGTGCCATAAAGGTCGATCACCCCTTCAGATCGGATATTGCACATAATCAACCAGCCATAAGCGGAACCAAAGTACTGACCACCACCTCCCCCAAGAACCATGGGAAAGCAAGGAACCTGGAGTTGATGATTGTAAACCCGATCCTCCGCGACGCTGTATAGTTTGGAGGAGAGATATCTTTGTCCGGCTCTATCCTTTGTCTTGACATATGTCCATATCCCGCGCGCCGATAACCTGACAGAATTCAGAAGCATGGGAGGCTGTTTATGCATTGTTGCCGCCATCCATTTTGGCTTCTGATCGACCGCAAGGGAACTCCACGATTTGCAAAACAGCCCTAAATCGGATGTAATCCGAAAGATAAAACACCTTGTCTAGAATTTCATTCAGAATTCCTTCGGGAAGATCGTTCCAGTCTACTGAGGTTTTGATATTCAAGGGAAGAGATGCAGCCATATTGTAAATTGAGAGGGATCGACGTCAGGTCGGCGGTTAGTGACTGAGAAAGTAGACCGAAGATGTATAGCTAGCTAGAGCTGATCAGGAGCCACTGCTTAAGGAGGAGGAGGAGTTAAAATACTTTGTGAGCCTTGTCGCAGTATCTATTTATGGTTCCAGGGGAGAAGCACCAGGAGGCATCACCGGATAGAATTTGTAAAACTTGGTATTCTTAATTGCATCCTTCTTCTCCTCACTCATACGGTTCAATTCTTCAGCCTTTGCTTTCTTGGCTTTATTTCGCTTTTCCTTTGCTTCCGCAACCTTCTTCTTCAAGGTATCCTCGAATTTTTCCCTCCTCAATCAAATCTGTCACGTAATCCTCCACTTTTCCGTCCTCCCGCCAATTGTACCAACACCAAAATGGGGGCAAACCTCCACCTCGATCATAATCGAAATCCACATCGAATTTCTTTTAGCGTTTGAATTTCTTTCCAGGGAGTGGCCCAAGCAAAATGCTGAAGGTTTCTTAGGCCTGGGTTTCTATACCATAGCTAAGAAACTTGAGACCTGGTGGCCATGGGTGGGGCATTCTAAGCCTAGAACCTTACCAAAGTTTGTTATTAGTTCAAAAAGTACTGATTAGTGGATGGTACAATATCGTAGGTTGCAGAAGGAAAATTCCCTTTTTTTTTATATATATATATATTTGCAGGGTGTCCATCGTCGGCAACAAAAAGAAAATCCCCTTTGACTGCTATATTTCCTTTCGAAAGATCCATTGTTTTTAGAATATATATGTGCTTTCAATATTCAGGATTCAGTTCTAATTTATTGACTTAATTTTTCTAATTATACATATTTCTTTTCCAAAATATATACGCACTGGTTATACAACTTATATAATGTGCGGGATAACTGTATCAACTCCTCAAGTATATATTTTGCAACGATACTCCGTTGCAAAGGATCAAAGTATGCACATCGCAAACTATATGTGATGTTAGTAGATCCAGATCCCAGAAAAAGTTTGCTTTTGTGACCACTCAAGGATATCATTAATTAAAACAATGGCTTAGCTCTGAATTGTTTCTTCTTATTGTCGAAAAAATGTCAATAGTAACAGATCATTAAGACAACTCGCACAACGTATGTATAAGGTAAGCACTAGTACTATGAAAATAAAATAAAATTTACGAGCTTGAGAAGAAAACTCTACTACTACGAAAACTATTCCTTTTTTTTTTTTTTGAGGAAGGTAATGAATCCGTGATACATAGATTGTTCAACAATACAACTGAAATGAATTTTTTTTATTTGTTTAAGAATCAAAATATTTATTTATTAGTAGGGAATGGCCTAAGGAAAATTAATTAGCTCAGAAATAAACAATTATTTCCTCATTATGGTGAATTATGAGGCCCCCTTTTTTTCCACAGCTTCTTTGAGTTTCCTTCCCAGCGCAAAAGCCACCGGCGGGGGGACTGCATTTCCAATTTGCTTATGCTGGTGCTTAATCTTGCCAGAGAATTGGTAGCTATCAGGGAACCCCTGAAACCCAGCCAAAAAAAAAGGGCACCTAATTAAAGTCCACGAAAAGATAATTAAAATCAATAAACACGACTTTTTTTTGGTACTCTTCCATTCCAAACTAAGAATCAATATATCTTATTAAAACAAAAGTCCAAAAGAATAAAATTCCTGAGGTCTCAAGATGTGGATAAAAGTTTTCCCTCCCAAACACATCAAATCAAAACTACGTCGTTTTGATTTAAAAAATGTTAACTATATAAAACAAATTCCTATTACAAATCCATATGAAAATTAGTTCATTATATTGTTAGAAAGAGACATTTTAATTATGTATTGGTCAATAATTTCTTTTAAAAGAAAGCGACGTCTTTAATAGTAAAAAAAATTATTAAATTTTCACAGGTAAAATTACTAAAAGAATTTGAACAAAACATTTTTCTTACATTCAAATTAAAAACTGTTAAATTTCACGTGTAAAATTACGAGAAAAAGTTCAAGTAACACATTTTTCTTATATTCAAATTCAATCATCCTAATACCAATCGAATTAAAAAAAAAAAGATGTTGAAATCTCACGGGTAAAATTATTAAAAAAATCCAAATAAAACTTTTTTCTTATATTCAAACTTAATGAAATTTATATTATAATAATAATAATACCATTTAATTTTAAACCCGTCTTTTTTAATTTATTTTATTGTTGGGTTATTCTTTGTATCATTTTTTTTTAGATTCTAATTCACAATCAGCCACTAATTGAATACATGATATTTTTTCATAATTAACTATCGATTTAATAATGAATTTTAACATATTCTGTGCAACACACGGGAGAAAACATAGTTACATTTGTTAAACCAACAGACAAGACTCTTATGAGATTCCAATTTTTTTTTCTTTGACATATAGCACAATATTCATCATTAACAACAATCACTAATAATACTATCATGGTTAGAATTATTACATTCAATAACGTGACACGAACCTGGGCTCTAGCGTATTCACGGACGGTGACGAGCCTATCTTGTTGAGGGTGAAACCAGCAACCAACCTTGCCCATAGGCTGGGGATCAGTAACACATGTTGGAAACTTTCCGGCCCAGTCCAATCTCCCATATAACCCCTTCCATCGGTTTGCTTTTTCAGGTAGCCATGGAGGCAGCAAATCCACCACTTTACCATTTGACAACTTAACCTAGAAAAATAATAAAACATAATTGTTGAAAAGAATGAGAAGGAAATTTGCTATATCTTGTTTCTTCTGTAGTTTGCAAAACTTGAGTTAATGTAAGAAAATGAAAGCCATTATATGTTAAAAAGAGTAATGATAACTCTTGACGAATTCGAAATGACTCGGGAAATAATATGACCAATATTATTTGTTATAATATGACGTTTTTAACCAAGAGCTAATAAAATTACCTGTTTATCTGGAATGTCATGCCAGTCAGCACCAGGGCGTTTTTGAACTTTCTTACATCGGAGGAAGTTAATCTCGTTCAATTTCTTGGGAATATGGGCATTAAGATACCTCATATTACCTCTAATCTGTCTTTGGTACCAGGACACAGGTTCATTTTCATACTGCCAAATGCCCAAAGTTCAAAATCAAACATTAGAGATTGTTGGTGAAAAATCTAGTACTTTGTACAGAAGTTGCACAAAATTTAATAACAATCAATAAAATCTAAGTAATTTGTACTCCCAAAATTATTGTCCAGTTTGAGATTTCACGTTTAGTACAATTTCAATTAAAAATGAAAATCCAAGCTGGACAATAATTATGGGACGGAGGGAGTACGAAAGTTGCACAAAATTTGCGCTAATTCTGATCAGACGTAGTCCAATAAAAACCTCCATTTTGTTTTACAGTAAAGGTGAAAATTAACAAAAAAAAAAAGAAAAGGAAAAAGATCAACTGAAAATACCTCCAATGTAAATTCGGATGCATCATTGTCAACAGGTGGAAGATCACCAATGGCGTCTTTTATGGTGATTGACCGAAATGGAGCGCCATGGTCAGTTCGATGAGCTGCAGCATAAAAAACATCTCCACCTAAAGGGATCTTCAATTCTGAACCTTTGAAAACAAACATTGGTTCAGGCCATTCTGGCAGATTCTCTTCAGGTGAGGCTGCCCAAACGAATGCCCTTTTCCTGTTTTGTGGAATACCATAGGCCCCTGCCTCTAAAATTCCAAATCTCACCTGTAGAATTTTGTGAACAGATCAAACAAAATAGAAAGAAAGAATGATGTTTTATTATTATTATTATACCTGATAGCCCATTTCCAGGAGTGCTGCCAACGTGAAGCGGAATTCTTGACCTTTGTTGAAGAATATGAAGTTCCTCACATTCTCAAGGAGGAAGAATTTGGGGCGGAAATAATCCGCAAACGACAGGAATGCCGGTATCATTTCACATTGATTTTTACTCCAAGAACCATCTTGATATCTATTCATCTTCGAAAATCCCTGAGAGTTAAAAGAAAAGAAAATTCTTGCATCAAATAAGTTTGCACAACATTTGCACTAAAAGATTTAGTTCAATTTAGCATTCTTACTTGGCAGGGAGGCCCTCCAATGATGAAATCAACATCGCCAGGCCGGGGCAAATCATTGAGTTGCTTCTTATCAAGTTTTGCAGCCAATTTAGCAGCTTCAGGAGTTGAGATACAATCATCTGCATCCCCACAGGCTGCCATGATGGCCCTGTAAATTTATATTTTTTTTTTTACCACTCCAAAAATTATTAAATCTTCAATAAGATCAAGAGCCAAATGTGCAATATAGTTGAAGAAATGCAAGATTATGAACATCTAGAATTCTAGATAGCAAAAGTTGAAGACCTGAGGATGACATTGCAATTTTCATTAAACATTTTTGCCCTTGGATGATTTTGTTCAAATGCTGTCGCGGTAGTCTCCGTATATTCAATCGCCCATTTTGTTTTTGAGACACCTGAAATGAGTGCTTACAAGATTAATCGCCACCTCAGATAGTTTACGAGCTAATTCATCCTGCTTTTGGGAGGACAAAAAAAAATTGTTAGTATTACCTGATTGTTCTAAACCCGAAGATAGGCCACCACAACCAGAAAAAATGTCTAGAGTGGCAAGAGGTAGTTTTTGAGCTGAATGTTGTTGATTATAAATATCATCAAGCGTTCTTTCTGCCTTCTTTCGTTTCCCTAATATTTTTCTGTTTACAACAGCCTTAACCGAATTTTTTCTGGAGAGATTACGCTTGACTTGGGGCGGTAACTGTGCAATGATGTTGAAAACATAAGACAAAAAAGAAGATGACGAAAATATAGATTTAAATTTGATTCTGATTAGTTGAGGCAAATAGGAGAAGCAACCTTCTTTAGAGCTCCGGTCTGATGGTCATATGATCGTTCGCAGTAGAAGATGTGCTGATAAACATAAGTAGTGGGGAACAGATGAATGTCTTCCTTTTCTCTTAGTTCGCACTTTCCTTGCACTGCCAAAACCGGCATCTTAAGCACTTCTTGGCTGTAATATATCTGCACATCACATGATTAGGCACACTTTTATACTTGCATATTTGATCAATGTGTCTATCTAGATGAAATGGAGAGCTTACACAATTCAAGTATCCCTGGGCCTGCACAAATTTTGCACTAATGCACGACTCTACGTGCACTATCTTTAGTTTCATTTTCAAGTTAGACATTTATTTTGAAAATGACACCAAAACATCCTTAAAAGAGATAATACCTCTCGAATGTCAGAATGGTATGCTTTATCCGCTGAAATCTCCTCTGGTCTGTAAAATCTCTGGAGCCGAAGAATAGTAGACATAGGATCAGCTTTTTCAAAGGGCTTTTTGCCTTCAATCCCCAGAATTTGGCAGATTATGAACGGTTTAAGGGGCGGATTTTTTCCAATCTTGAGGCTACTTTGGTCACACTGATAGAATGTAACATGATCCTGATATAGATAGATGAAATCATGGATGTGGTACTTGGTTCCCTTCAAGATGAAACAGGCTTTGGTGAGTTTGAAGAATGCTGCAGTACGGGATTCCTTTATCTGGCACGGCTGACAATGACCATTACCAAGGCCCATTGACTCAGGTTTCAGACATAAGAAGGCTCCTTTCTCAGGGCAATATAAATTTCTACAGAAGAATTCCACCTGGAGCTTCTTCTTTTTCTTTTTTGATGCGCTTGCTCTATCACTACTTTCATCATTCAAATTTGCCTTCCGATGCTTATGTCCCCAAAGTGTCGATCGCATTTCAATTGCCACGGTACCTCTAACATGACAAAGCTCAAAATCTAGGCAATGATTAGTTAAAAACAACTCCATTTCATTACTAGAATCCCCAAGCACTGTCTCATGTCCTCTAAGCATCAGTCGTCCATGAGCTAACATTTTTCCGTCAGAGTTTTCAAACAGGTACTCCAGATAAAATATGGGAGGATTTTCTTTGGAATCAATTGTTTCCACTATCACTGAGCTACCTGGATGAACAGCAAGTCTACCTACCTTAGCTTTTTTGTAGAGAACATTATTTGAAGATGTTTTCCCAGCTTGTTCTCCTTCCCATTTGACTACTGTGCTTGCATAGGGTGATTTTCTCCATCTTGTAAGAGAATGGATCTTCTCAACATTAGTACCAAAAGGAACTTTTTTATCTTTTAATGCTTTGGTATCCTTTTCTTTAGAGTCATTAGACAGATAATTGGAGCAATACTTTCCCCAGATCCTGCCCACAAGTTTGGTAGTGGTAGCTGGCATTGGCTGTGGTTTTGGAGTTTTGTTCTGCGCTACGACCTCTTGATGCAGATTGATTTCTTTCCTCTGGAACTCTTTCTTTTTCACTTTTTTGGTGAGAAGACATTCTCTCAAGTGATCCTCAAGGCCCCTCACAAATGCACATTTGCTTATAGAAGGATCATGATAGTCCGCAAATAGCTGCAAAATGACTTGGCCATGAACAAGCATATACCTCTGAACAGTTGCTATATCGGAGGATATATATGAAGGATAACCTTGGCTGAAATCTGCAACTTTCTCAACAACTTCTCTAAACGAAAGCCTCGATGCCCTTCTCTGCCCCTGCAACAATTTGATGATGCTGATTGCTAAAGTTACTATTTTCTCAATAGGTTTGTACCATGGATTATACTGGTTTAATGGATTCCCCAGCATGTACCTAAGAAAATCCGAAGGATCATCTTAGCATTGATATGAAAGGCTTCATTATCAGAAAGAAAACAAAGCTACAGAAGTCAAATCAGAATGTATGAAACAGTAGTTGCACACCTTAGTAGAGGAAATTTGTAAATTTATATGAGAACTCACTTGCACAGTAGTTGCACACCTTAGTAGAGGAAATTTGTAAATTTATATGAGAACTCACCAGGCTGTGTCTGTTCTTATTGAAATGGAAACAGCTGTTGATGATGATGATCTCCACTTTATGTCCCATTGCTTTATTTCACTTAAGTGCACAGGTATACCATCCCCATTCAGAAAAGAACTTGAAGGGCTGAAGTCGTCATCACAGCAGAAGACGCTTCCTTGATCAGTTGCTAGAACACCTGAACAACAAATTTTCGTATCCTTTGCAGCAAATGTTTTTATTGGAAGAAGCTCCAAAGGAGTGAACCTATTATCCGAGCTATATAGGCACCAATTGTGAAGAAAATATTGAGGAAGCTCATCAGAATCATAGTCACTTTCATCAATGAAGATACTGGACTCATCCTTCTCTTTGATACTCTGTGTATAGTATGTTGGTGGTGGATAGTCATCTGAAATGTCATACTCACTCATGTATCTCTTCGATTTCTTCCTTCTGGACACTGAACCAACTGATTTTTCGGATGCATCTTTAAGGGCTAGAAGTACTGGTAAGTTTGTGAAGATCGTATCACCCTCTCGTGATGTATCATCCAAGCCAATTAGCTGATCATATATGAATCTACCCCATGAAAGGAATAAGTCCATGGAATAGCCCTCCAAAGGAACATTTGATTTTTCTGTCCAAGAATGTGAAACAGCTGTAGCTAAGTCATTAAGGCCTATATTTGGATTGCCCCCACAACATTTTGACAGCATTCTGTATACGTCAATGCATGCACTAGCTTTCATGAAAAAGAGATCATAGTGCTTCTGGTAGACCTTGGAAGGCTTTAGACATTCATAATCAGCTGTTTGAGTAGATACCCATATGATTGGCAAATTCTCATCATATCCAGATAATGACCATGATAATATTGGACCAAATCCTTCACAGTAAATCCTTGTCTCTTTCTCATCATCATGATCCTCCAAAGGCAAAATGAGAGCTGAAATATACAGCTTATACTCTTCGACCAACTCAATAGGCTGCGGTTGGCCATGTTCATCATGAATTGTGAAGGCTGTCAACCTTCTATCTTGCTGACTATCCTCCTTTCCGCCTCTGGTCAACCTTACAGCATCCTCTTCTTCTTCGAGAGACCGAATTTTTTCAGTCTCCACTTCAGTTGAATCAACAGTTGAGTTAACTGAATTCGACTGGGAAATGGAAGAGCCAGATGATTGTTTTGGAATTTTCAGAGAATCAATTGAGTCGCTGTCAGACCTTTTTCTTTTACCTGTCATTCTTCCATTGTTTTTAACCTCAGATAACACATTCCTTGAATTAGGATGTGCCTTTTTTTTTGCCATCTCTGAAATAATGATTGGTGCAGGTACAGAGGGAAGAAATGCAGTTCAAGCTGAACCTAGAAAGAAAACAACAGCATACTACAATAAGAACCTGCTGATCATTTTACATTGTAAACTTTACATTGACATATATAACATAAAGATAAAACAACTTTAGCTTTGATGATGATCAAAATTAAGACATAAGACAGTTGAGACAAATAAAACATTGATGAATAGCAGACCTACAGATTATACATGATTGTGAAATCAATTACATGTCTAACAACAGGTTCATTGTGAAATCATTTACTTGGCTTAAAGCACATTCCACTGAGAGCATCATTTTCATGGTTCTGAAATCAAGGGTTCATAATTTTCCGATAGTGAAATCATTTGCTGCAACAAAACAATGACAGCAACCACAAATGTGAGGTGAAATCCTTGACCTAAATAGCATTCTAGAGAAAGGACCATTTTCATGCTTCAGCAATCAACAAATCAATCTTGTCCAAATGTATGCATGAAACATTTGATCATCAAAAATAAAAACTGGGAATAAAAACAAACCTCTTCGCTGTCCTTCCTCTCTGCGCCTTTATCAATCGCCTTTCGCTGTGGATCCTCCAAATGTTCAACTCTCTCCATCATTCGACCTTTATAGTACAACAACTTCACACGCAAACACAAACGCGTAAAGACTACTCACACAAAATTTCACATTTAATTCAGAATGGACATAAACGGAAAAAGAATTACGCCAAGATGAGTAAAAAATCAACGGTTTAATTTCGCACAAATTTTTACCTGGTTTGATATGCCAGTGCAAATTTCCACTCTAGGCAAAGAGGTAAATGTGATGATCATGGAGATATATGAACTGATGAGAGGATTTTTGAGTGTTAAAAAGTAGCTTCTGTGAAGAAAGGAAGCTTGTATTGATGCTGCCATGGCCAACTGAGGAAAGAATCATGCTGGAAAAGAAGCCGTTACAATTGAAAAGAGAAGGCAAATTGAGTAGTTAGCAGTTAGTTTTGAACATAAAACTGGCGCCAAATAGGTAAGTCCACGCGCCAACAAAATATAATTATTTATTTAACACGTGAGGACTGAAGCAATTTGGTTTAATTTTCATTTCTTTACAGTAACTTTTCTTTTTTTGGAGTAGTAATTTAATCTAATGTCCCATACTAGTCACTTTGTTATCATTATCGGATGAGATTGTTTCAGTGATTAATTCTGATATTTTATTTTTTTTTTCTATGAACGTAAAATACTAGGCTGTCTTGGAAAATTGGGCCACAATGAAATATATTATTACTCCCTCCGTTCCAAAATAAGTGTTATTCTAGAGTTTGCACATAGTTTAAGAAAACATTAAATAAGGTAACTAAATTACTAGAATATCCTCAACCAACCCCATTAAAATAAATGATCACCAATAATATTATTTCTTTTGAGGGTATGTTTGGAAATTTTTGACCAAAAATACATTGGAATCTGAAAACGACACTTATTTTAGAATTTCTTCATTTTGCCAAAACGACACTTATTTTGGAATGGAGAGAGTACTAAATATGGGGTAACAACATTTAATCATAAGTTTTAATTATATTTACCATTTATCTACCAAATTTTGAAAATACCACCATTGAGTTTTTTTAATCAAAAAATTGGTTCTGGAGTGAGAGTGGAGAAAAATATTTGTCTTGATTTTGCAAATCCGAGTTATTGACCGTATTTTCTTTTCTTTTTGCGTAATATTCAAAATTAAAATTAATATTATTTTTTCGGTTACTAATTTAATTATAACTCGGAGCAATATTCATGTCCACTCGTGTTCTAGAGGCATTTTTTTGTTCAAACACCCACCGATCATTGGTAGTATACGAAACGAAGAACTAACATTTCAGAAAATTGAATTATGATCTTAATATTTTTAAGATGCCGAAAATACACATAGATATGTAATAACCGTAAATTGTTTTAGAATTTTGAAACTTCGCAAACTCAAGAAGTAAAATTTTTTGCTACATTTCATTTACTAGATTGTTACATTTTTTTTCCTTGTTAATTACGGCTAAAATTAAGTTAACTACAAGCGTTAAAATAACTTCTCACAACGAATAACAGGAATATCTTCAATAAAAATACGTCTTTAGGCCATTTTTTATATTAATAATATTCATCTATTAAGTCGTCAATTGACACAAACAAGATGTTTCAAGTAAATAAAGTTCAGCCCACAAAAAAAAAAAAAAAAATTCTGATCTTGATAATATCTTGGTATTCTTCTTTATTTTGTAATTAATTTTCCCAAGCGTCACAATTTGTTATGGCAGATTCAGATTTTTTTTATTTTTTTTTTTTTGGCCCCCAACTAATTAAGAGAAACTTCAACTGTCTTAATTCTTAAAAAATCAAAATCAAATACCAGGAGATCAAATTGGAGAACTAAAAACGACTGAAATCAAAACCGTTAAAACAGTCGTTACTCAGATATTATTATGTTCTTCCTTGCAAGGAGAAAAAATCAATTTGTTTAGAGAAACTCTCTTCTCTGCAGTCATATCGGACAAGAAAAAAAAAGGATAATAAAAGAAGAATTGGGACCCAAAAAACAAAAATGCAAGTAGAATCAAAAGTTGCTATAAGCACTGTACTAGCAAAAGAGTATTCCTCTGTCAAACTTACTTGACAGAAATGAAGATATAATTTACACTAAAAGATTGGCACCCCAAGCCAAACTGCACCCCATCACTAACCATATATATTACTTACAGAATCCAGCTTCAATCACCTTGAAGGAGGCGCCATGATGGAACATGATCAAGGCAAAATTTTCTTTAAAAAGAATGATAAAGGTATATCTAAGGCTGGGAAACGTATTCGACATGAACCTAAAAACTACAAGAGCCGGAGCAGGTCCTCATCCCCCATATATAAACATCCAACAAATGGCAGTCATTTGGAACTACAATTTGTGGGAAAAGATAAGTTGTGGATAAAGCCCCAAGATATGCTCAGGCATAAAGTCGTGCCTTGTTAAAATTCCAACAATTGGTGGCCTCTGCAAAATGTAAAATCAGTGAGTTAACAATCATCAAAGTCAACAATTATACTTCACAAAGAACGACTATAATGGAAATATAGTTGTTCGTCTTCAGATTGCCTATGCCTATATGAAAGCTGAATTCGCCCTCCCTATATCACCTTTCAGTGAACTTTAACATCAGGAAGAACACTGTTGATAACCAGAAAGGTCAAATGGAGAAAGAAATAGAGAATGAAGACCACCAATATCAAGTTAGAATCAGCATTAGACGTAGAGGAAGTGGATTGAAATGAGCAACAGCAAAGATATGAGAAAGAAAGGGCTCTAGGAATCTACATTTTGATGATTCAAGTATTATATTGTTTGCTTTCCAAAGTGCTTTATGATCATGCCCGAAGCAATAATAATTTGGATTCAAAGAATACAACAAGCAACAGTGTCCTGTACAATATTAACTCCACAAACACCTACACGTAAGTCGCGCAAGCTGAGGAGGCATAAAGTGGCACAAGCACCTAGAGACGAAAGCTGTGTACATCTATAAATAAACAGGGCAACTTCCTTAAAACTAGGACCTTAAACACAATTTAGCAGAGATGAGGTCTACGAAGCTCACAATTTAGCATATAACAAAATGCGATGTAAATAGAATAGGGACCTCTTAAAATAACAGGTGCCTTTACCACAAAAAAAAAAAAAAAAACACAGTCAGATCATTTTAAAAACACCAATGCACATGAGGATTCTAGATATTATGTTCAATTTAATAGAAAATGGTAAGTAGTTAGAGAATCTTACCCCAGGTTTCTTTGGAACAACACACAAGTGCCTCAAACCAAGCTCACGAAAGAGAACTGCAGCTTTGGCCAATGACATTGTTTCTACAACTGTGTATGGTGATGTATTAGTAATTGGATGAAGATCAACATACATCTCCATCTCCTCCTCAGAAATTTCCAGGTCTTCTACTTTAAGACCCTTTCCTAATCCAGGCTTAGCAAAATCATTCGCGTGAAACCTTCTAAGAATTTCGGATCCATTCAACACTGGATGTTTCATAAAGTTTTTCCCGTTGAGAAGAACAACCAAGTGTGACCTCAAAACAAGCCCGCACAATTCTGGGGCATCAGTGAAAGGGGGTTCATCAATCACAGGGAACCCATTATGTCCAGTTATTTTAAGAGCATGTAATATGTTCCCAACTTTTTCAACACCAGAAAATGTTATTAAGGGGCCAGAACAAACATCTCCTGCAACCAACTGCCGCATGTATGGTTCAGCATGGGCTTCCATGAAAGGCATCCCCTTCATCTTCACGATTTGGTCATAAACACCTTTATTGAAACAATCAGCCACTGTTTTTGAAATTAGAAGAACGAGCATGACCAGTGGCAGCATTAATAAATCATTAGTTAGCTCAAGGAGAATAACACAAAGTGATACTGTCATTCTCATTGTGCCACCAAGGAATGATGCCGCCCCAAGGACACCAAAGAGGCCAACACCAAGACTGGAAGCATTCCCAAGGAACATGTCAACAAGGCGTCCAACAAGCCGTCCGTATGAGGCTCCAGCAAGTATTACGGGGATGAATAGCCCAGAAGGAACAGCGATTCCATAAGTGATTACCCCAAGAATATATATAGCAGCGAAGAATATTAGAAGTGTGGAGATCTGGAATTCATGAATAGTTCTTGATGAGCTGAATAAATTGCGAATAGCATCATCATTTGTATTAAGTAGAAGGGAAGCAAGGTCATTGTAGTGGCCTGGCCCACATTGGAAACCTTTAAACATTCCAGAGCGACCTATATTTGGGCATTCTTCATCTATTCCAGTTGGACAGGGGATGCACCTTGCAAACCAAGGCAGGCCAAAGCAACAGCAAGAGGTCAACAATGAAATAAAGACAACAAGTAGAACTCTGAAACTTGGACCTTTCCTGCAAATCATCATCAAAGTACCAAGAACCAAAACTTCAGTCAACTACATGTAAGCAGGGAAGATTATTCAAATCAGGGCTTTAGTAAATAATTGTATCACTGATGAGATATTCTAAAGTCCAATGAAATAAGCTTGGAAATATTATCAAATATACATAACTAACACACAAGATCAAGTTTCAGTTGATATAACAGTAAAGCAGTTGATGTATACTCTTAGTAGAGTATTATTAAGGATTCTTCAGCTAAAACCTATTGCATCAAAAGGTTTATCTGGAAGAAGAACATGCATTTCTCATTGAGAGAAGTAACCCCAAACTACTAGCCAACCATTTGCAATCTCGTTGGTCAACAGAATCTCAGAATGTCTACAGTTGAGGTATTCCAATCATCTCATCTCAGAAGGAAGATTAAATAAAAGAACCTAGTTCACAAACTTAATCTGATATGTGCTTCTTTTCTTAGTATTAATGACCAAATATGTCTTCAACTTACTCATTAATGATGCTATAAGTCCGCAGCACCTTGTCCACAAGAAAATTGTAGAAACTTCCAAGGACACCTCCAAGTACTCCTATCAAAATCACAGCCAGAAGATCTGGGGTGTTGTAGGCAGGCATAGAAGAACTAACATCAAACATGATCAAACCACCTTTTCCAAAAAGGCCACAATTGCCACTCCTGCAGAAGACAATGAGGCTCCTCAAGACCACAGCTACTACAGCAGTGGTGAAAAATGTCCTCCAGAGAAGTGCACTCCTCCACCTACAATAAATTACCAAAATAATGAGTCCTGCGATAAGGTTATGATTCACTTAAAGGAAGTTTGAATTTGTAAATGAAACCTAATCACTAATCGACTCTATCAAGCTACAAGCCCAGCAAATGCAGAGTAGATGGAGCCTGGAGGGAGAGAGAAATACCATGAGGCTGCTTCTTCGAGGGCAAAAAGGACACCACCAACTGGGGCACGGAAAGCAGCTGCAACGCCAGCAGCGGCTCCACAGGTGATCAAATCCCTTCTATCGCGGTCATTTTTGAAGTATCTAAGCCATCGCCATGTCAAATGATATTTGCGCGAGCCTCCCTGCCCAAGTAAGTTAGCAATACAAGCACCAGTGTGTACCATGGGTCCTTCCTTGCCAACGACAAATCCAGCAGCAACTCCAAAGATTGAGCCAAATATCTGAAACAAAATGTATGATCCAATCAGATTAACACTGACTTAAAAAGTGATGCCTTAAGTAATGGGGGGGAAAGCCTCTATATCACTTTTACCTATGGCAAAATCACAAAAACAGAAATCCAGGCAAGAGAAAACTACTTCAGTTCTTTTAAGAAAAGTGCTAATGAAAAAAATTAAAAAACAACTAGAAAGGAAATCATCCACCATTGATAGTCGTAACAATATATAACTGTCCACTGGTAAAATACAAGTTTCTGCCCAAGATTAAAGGCTGAGAAGAACTGAGGATTTGTAAAAGGGAAATATTTTGTAGAAAAGCTTGTAGCACAAAACCCCAACAGAAAAAGCAAAAGAATCTCTTGTACCAACCTTAACAAATAGGGTGCTTGGAGCCAGAATAGAATGAGCATCTATACCATTAAGATAGGCTTTCACTTCTGGTATACCAGACCCAGCTGCTGCAGGGGCAACGAACGCGCACAATACCCCAGCACACGTTGCCAGGACTGCATTGCAACCCGCAAAAGCTGCAAATGACAGGAAGTACCTGCATTGAAATTAAAATTACTTCAACCCACTTTAAAATTTAAAACTGAATAGGTAAACAAGCATGAATGAGATAATAGGAGAATGGATATGCAACACAGGCATAAATGAGCCAACCAAAAAAAACAAGAAAGAAAGAAAAAAGGAAAGGTCATAAATTGGCAGCCACTTAAGGAGAAACGTCTAGCACCATGAATGAGGTAACAGAAGCCAGAATTCACAGTAGAAGAGATTAAAGCCTACCAAGATGCATCCTTACATAACTCTTCGAGAATTTAAAACAGACGAAACCAGTCAAGTCATAGTACCGCTACAATGAGAATAAAATTCAAAACAAAAGACCCAGAGTCGCTACATTAAGAAACAGCATTTCAAATAAATCAACCTTCCAATGAGGGAATTCGCTAAAAACGATCATTTTTGTGATACATGTTAGAAGAACTATCAAAGGCGGGCAAATGTCGAAATTTCTGCTTACCTCTGCTGGATCATCAGCCTGTTAGTAAGCAAGAGCTTAAAACCAGCAATATTCTCCACAGCAAGGTTATTAAAGAAACCAACAACGCCAGTGCTCAATCCAATGAGAAGTGCCAGAGCCCATTTGAGGAAAACATACTGAAAAATCTGAACCTTCTTTCTAGACCTCCAATCCTGTTTAAGGAGTTCGTTTTCCAAAAGCCTACAAGGAAAACACCATAAAAAATAAAAAATAAAAAAATTATACATTCCAACAGATGCAGCTGATTGATCAAATTCAATGCGCCGGCATATACTACAAACAACGCAAACAAGCCAAAACAGAATGCAACTGTCAAACAAAAATAGATGATCTGATCTCGCACACTGATCTTCTCTAATAGGATCATAATAGCCTAATCAGCTTCTACATTAGCTTTGACAACTTCCAAACAAAATTAGAAAGTGTTGGGAAAAAAACAAAATAAACGGTGTTGATGTTTCAAAATCCTTCCCGTCCTGATCACACACAAGCATAACATTTTCCCGAGAAAATTGAAAGAGAAAAAGCAAATGCAGAATCAAATCAAATTAGGAAGAAATCAATACAACAGTTTTCTGAAGGGAAAACCGAAAAAAAAAAAAGAAATTGGCAAGGAAGGGCTGTACGTACTCGTAATCAAGGCTTTCAATGGCGGAAACATTGGCGCCAACGATGGCAATCTGGGAAGTTGTGTTGACTCTGCTCCTCAGCTTCAAGAGTGGTTCCCTTAACACGTCTTCGCTATCTCTGTTCCAAAACGACGACGGTTTCCTCTCCAATTCGTTAATCCTTTCATCGTGATTCATCACCATCAACGCCTCCCGACTGAGTCCGTCGTTCTCTATATCCACCGCCGTCGGCGACCGTTCATTCTCCATAATTCTGGTTCTATTTTTCCCCAAAAAATTCCACCGTAAGTACAAAATTCTATCAAAACAAAAATTGCTATAAACACAAAAAGGATTAATTATCCGAAACTTCTCGAGATCATAGGGGAAGCTTTAAAGGGGGCAACCTTTAGAGCAGAAAAGTTGTGGTGGTGATTCTATGCTCAGACAGACAGGTGTAAATATACAGAAATCCGTAGGGGGAAAAAAGTGGTGGTTTGCGTGAGGATTGTGATCATTCAAGTCACGATGATGAATTCCAAATGATTAAACAATGAATGACTAAAAAATTTAAGGGATTAGGAAAGTGTTTATTATTGAAGAGAAGATTCAATGGCGTCCCATGCACCCATCATCCATCCTTCTCCTTCTTCTATTCCATGGATATATATCAGTAGATGTATGGTGCGCGACCCTGGCCCAGTCTATCTGTAGATCTTAGAAATGTTTATATTTGAAAAAAAAATGTATTTGGAGCGATATATTTTAGAAATATTTGAAGGATTTAGAAATGTTTTATAAGTGTGATCATAGAAATATTTGTATTTGACAAAAAAATAAATTGTATTTAGCCATGTATGTTTTAGAAATGTTTTATAAGTGTTACTTATTAAATATAAATAGACTTAATCGAATATATCTGTTGAAGTAAATGTTAGACAAAATATAAAAGTATCCTAATAAGTTTAAATATTAGTAAGATGATTTATTGATGTTCTCCATTGGTCGTGCCAAATCAATACTTAGTTTTGGAGATTTTTAATAGTTTTGTAATAAGTTTCATCCGAAGGATATACGCTTAAAATAAAATTAACACTTTGTAACAAAAATCTAATTGATCAATTCAATTTAGACTCCATAATTAAGAAAATAAAACCACTCTAATTGAATGAAACATAAAGAAATTTTTTTTTAAAAAAAAAAGCGTGTCACGTAAAGTGCAAAGAGAGATTTAGTAATTTAGTTATGGTTGACCAAAAGGGTAATTTAGTACTTTGTTCATGTCACGTGGCAATCATAGGAGGTGTTTGAAAGGGCGATTTTTATTTCTAATATAATAAGATATATATATATATATATATATAATATTCTTCTTAAAAAGATTTTCCTTTTTTTTTTCTTTTCTCTTTTTTTAGTTTTTTTTAGGGGATTTTGTTTATGAACCACGTAGGATTCTACCTAGACAAATGGGAGACGCAAGTCGAAATGGTTATTCTAGCCTAAAGTAAATAAAACTCTTATCTATATATAATTTTACTTTTATTACGGTGTGTTTTTTTCGTAATCAAATCAAATAATGTAATCATTTTTATTTTTACGAATTGTTTTTAGATTTATATAGTATGCTATTACAATATTTTTTTGAAAATAAAATAAAGACAAGTAAAATGAACGGATAAATAGATAACATACATCCATTTACGTTATTGTTTGAAATACAAATTTGAGCAAAATATAAGATTCTAATGCTTTTAAAATGTTATTATTACATTCACGTAATGTTGTTCATTAACTAGCTAGTAGACTACTATTCTATGTCTCTTTCTACAACTCTCTATTTTAAAACAGATGCGGGATAAAGAAGATAAAAAAAGAAATTCAAATTATTTTGAAACCATTCATCTTTTATCAATTCTTTTTAATATTAATATTACCGTACATTAAAAAATATAGGAGTAATTGTGTGAAAGATAGAATTGTAGTAATAGAACTTATCGATTACTAAATAACGTCGAAATTAGAGTTTATAAGGGATAAAAACTCCCTCTAGTTTTACATTTTCAACTTTGTATTTGATGCGTTTATACATCATTGATAGTGATAAAATTTTTGCAGCTACATGTCTTTTGAAATGGAAAGATATTTTGCCTGGTTATATATGATTTAGTATTGTTCTAAGAAAAAAACTAATGCCATATATGCATGATCTTTAAGAGGAAACAAAAATTAAGACATCTCTATCTCTATATTATATAATACTACGAAGATTTTTCAATTATCTCACAAATATATGCATATATATTGCCTTCTTACATTTGTGGGAATAAATCAAGGCTTAGATTTTGTTTTTGTTTTTGTTTTTGTTTTTTTTTTTGTGATTGTTACATGTAGTTGCTAAAATATGAATTTATAGGGTTTAGTTAATTAAATGTATGGTAATTCATTACATAAATGAGTATCTATCTCTGTAACTGAATTAATTGCATTTATGGTTTTTAAAAGTAAATTCAAATATTAATGATGTATGTGAAGGCCTGAAGGTCTCTCTCTCTCTCTCTTTTTTTTTTTTTTTGAGAAAAAAAGATGGGTGTCAGTTTAATGAAGGCCGCCCTATAGATTGGTTAGTCGTGAAATTCATGGGATCAAAGTTGTAACTTGTTAGACTCAAAATTTGAACATCAAAATGTGAACATCTTTTTGACATATTTTTTTTAATCTGTTATCACTATCACTGTCCGTATATCTCCAATTATACAAGTAGTTACACTCTTAAAAAATCTCAGAATTTATTTTATTACACTTCTGTGTTACACTACTCGTGAAACTAGTAATTTTTTTTTAATATTTTAGCTCGTAAGAGTTTAATTACTTTTAGAGTATGTAATATAATGTTACGTAAAAATTACTTTTCAATATTTTTGCTCGTAAGAGTTTAATTACTTTTAGAGTATGTAAGAGTTTAATTACGTAATTTGGATTAATTTTCAATATATAGAGTATGTAATATAATGTTAGTGTTAACTATAAAGAAACGTATCAACAATTTATATTAGTTTACGATGAAATATAACACAAAAATGTCATGAAAATTTGACATCGTAAAAGATTAACATGTTATAATTATTATCTCGATTTGTAGTCTTCTTTTTCTAATATATAAGACAGGATGGTCCAACGGTAATTGAACTTTCATTAGGTTAATCTCTTTTTTATCATGTTATACATCTAAAACTTTGTATTCGTTAGAATAATGTCATAGTTACAATGAGACTGATCGGATGAAAGAAAGGATAGGGTGAAATGATAAGAATGGATAATCATAATCAGATAAACATCTGAAAAAAGAATCGAAACAAAACAATCGGAGAAAAATTACTATGATAGGATCAATTGTACTGGTATGATTGGCTAATAAACAATGAATTTATTAATTTAATATATAGGTCAAAACTCAAAAGTATAAAAAAAAAAGTGCGAGAGAACAAGGTGTTACGTGGACGGTTTACAGAAAATGTGGGAGTGGCATAGATAGCGACTTTGCAAAAGCATTGGAATAGCACGTGACCATTATTTTGCCCCCCAATAATGCCAAGCTGGAGATTACCAAAACCTTCCAAATTTTGTTGATTTTATTATGCGCGATTAGTGGGCAACACTCATGTGATGCTGATGAGCCATTATTACAAAATTATTGTTATTTGTATAAATCACGGATTTATCTAGTGGAGCATTAGCCCTAATATGTTTTTGGTCCACGTCGATTTTATTTATTATGCATTTGTTTAACTTCATTTCTCTCTTGTAATAACGTCTTGTGTTCTAAAAACTCAAATGATCCTGACCTTATTAAACGTAATATACTTTTGATACGTTAAAAGTAAAAATGTTTTACACGTTTGTTATTGTTTTAAGATATTTTTTTTTATTCTTCTTCTTGTATGTATATAAAATTATAAAGCACTAAAACTAAGATTAGGGCTGGACAATGAAAGTTGTTATGATAAAGTAATAAAAATAGTTAATCTAGCTTATGTCCTAAACTACGATTGGACTCTAATGTGTTTAACATCTCCCTTTCTCATTAATAAAAACCATCAAAATTGAGGGGTCCAATGCTCTTCTCATCCTCTCATTTCTTGTGGACAGTTTCTTGTACCTTTTTTTTTCCCCCCTTGATTATTATTTATATGACCCTTTGGAGTTTGGATGAGAATCCATTAATAGTACATTGTAATGCGGCAAAACTACAAACAGAAAATAAAAATGGCTGTCTTTTTGAGTATCCCATGGCATATATATATAGAGAGAGAGAGAGAATTGCACAATACATACCCATCATTCATGTGAAATTGTAGCGATGATGACCTCAACCTACTCCGTACTTACTATTCAAGTCTTGACAATACCAGCAAGTTGCTAACAGGGATTTGATCTTAATTTCTTTTCTTTTGCCAAACTTTTTCTTTAATATAAGCATCCCGATGTGATGATGTTTTCATGTCATAAGTAGAAAACTTTAATGTTGCATAATTGAACTCCATAAAAATTTTGTATCACCAAGTCATCTTAACTAATACTCTCTCGATCTCAGAAAAATAATCCAAATTCGATAAATTTTAAAATTGAATTATCGGATTGGTATAATCTAAAATTTATTCATAAATTGATATATAGTCACGGAACTTTATTTAACTTGTTATATTAATCTTTTAATTTACAATATTAAGTCATTTAAGTTTAAATTTGAATTTTTAAAATTGGATTATTTTTATAGTATCAGAGTAACATTACATAATAAATCCATTTATTGAGTTTATTAGGTCATTTCTATGAAAAAAGTAAAAGCTTAAAAGCATTCGTCAATATATTCACTTTTAACTAACTTAGTCATTGATTAATATCAACATTCGCCCGATTTTTATAGTTATTTTCGCTCGATCTTACTATTCTCCCGAACTCTACAACGACAACTATGTATTATTATGATATAGAGACAACGCAACAATAATTCCAAATTGCCAGAAGACATGAAACAGGTCCCCATATATCCATCCAGATATTCAAATACCTTTTGAACTCTTCCTTCCCCAGCAGTGTACTGTGTACATCGTGGAGTGGGGGATGGGAACGGCCTGGTCGACAATTGTGTTGATTCCGAAATTCCAACCTCCTCAATGAATATTATTTCGTTATCTCGTTTTTTAGTCATTTATTTTTATGTTCCCTCTATTTTAAAATGATTGTCCAGTTTCGAATTTTATTTTTTTATGTATAATTTAAATTAATATGAGAATCCAAACTGGACCATCATTTCGGAATGAAAGAAGTATATTTTTTGTTATATGTCAATCCTTTTCGTGAATAACTCAATATCTTAGATATGAAAATTTGGAGTACCCCTTCAAAAATTGGTTTTATTTTCAGTTTGTGATCCTTCGTAGAATCAAAGGGTTAGCATGTGACATGTTGGAATTAAATGCAACGACTTTTGTGTGTGAATAATGTTTTTTAAAATTTTTATGACATTTTTAGTTAGAAGTTTGTGACTTAATTTGGTGATGAAATAGGACGAGTATGTATACGTAGGTTGCATGAGTACCAAGTTTTCAAGCAACTGACCAAATGATGTGTTTCATTTTAATAATACAATGAACCCTAACTCTTTCCATGAAAAAAACAGGGAATGCTTAAGTTAATAAAATTAGTTCGAATGAAGTGATGACTCGCTAATGTGTGTC